CACTGGTGTCTCCGTGTCCCTAGGTCTCCCTGTGTCCCCAGGTCTCCCCGTCTTCCTAGTGACATGGGGACCCTGGGATACATGGGGACACAGGGAGACATGGGGCATTGAGACACTGATACATAGGATCACTGGGAGACCTGGGGACACAACATTAGGGGACACTGGGAGACATGGGGCACTGAGACACTGATAAATAGGAACACTGAGACCTGGAGTAATCGACACATGGGGGCACTGAGTCATGAGGGCACTGGGAGACATGGGGGCACTGGGAGGAATCCATCTATACAGCAGATTTAAACTAAGTAGTTTTTTGGTGATTTTACAGCGTTTTCTCTTATGTCACTCCTTGTGATTTACATCATGTGATGTCACCCACACATATTTAATTATGCAAATTACTAAGGCCGGTATGTTTTTCCAAGAAAGGTGGCAACCCTAACTACTTTTCACATACTCTTACTTAAAGGACCACTCTAGGCACCCAGACCACTTCAGCTTAATGAAGTGGTCTGGGTGCCTGGTCCAGCTAGGGTTAACCCATTTTTTCATAAACATAGCAGTTTCAGAGAGAAAACATAGATTCAGAGAAACTGCTATGTTTATGAATGGGTTAGAAACGCTACTATTTCCTCTAAGCGGCTGTCTCGGTGGCAGCGCTAGAGAAAAACTACGCTTTCAAATGCTTCTCACTGTGATTTTCACCCAGTGAGAGCGCACTCCAGCATAGGAAAGCATTATGAATGCTTTCCTATGTGACCGGCTGAATGTGCGCGCAGCTCTTGCCGCGCGTGCACATTCAGCCCAGGAGGAGGAACGTAGGAGGATCGGAGGAGGAGAGCTCCCCGCCCAGCGCTGGAAAAAGGTAAGTTTTAACCCCATTCCCCCTTCCAGAGCTGGGCGGGTGGGGGCACCCTCAGGGCACTATAGTGCCAGGAAAACGATTATGTTTTCCTGGCACTATAGTGGTCCTTTAAGTATGGAAACTTAAGAGGGATGTATGGGAACAAAACTTGTGTGGACTGGCTGACAATGAATATAGTTAAAGGGACACTAGAGTCACCAGAACACCTACAGTAGAATCATTACCTTCAGGGTTTTTGCTGTAAACACTGTCTTTTCAGAGAAAATGCAGTGTTTACATTACATCCTATTGATAACTTCACTGGCCACTCCTTAGATGGCTGTTAGAGATCCTTCCTGGGTCATGGCTGCCTAAAATGCATCCAAACATTCCGTATCTCCTCCCTCTGCATGCAGACACTGAACTTTCCTCATAGAGATTCATTGATTCAATTCATCTATACAGGGAGTGCAGAATTATTAGGCAAGTTGTATTTTTGAGGATTAATTTTATTATTGAACAACAACCATGTTCTCAATGAACCCAAAAACTAGTTTTAGTTGTTTTTAGTTATAGCCTTTGTGTTAGGGGGATATCTGTGTGTGCAGGTGACTATTACTGTGCATAATTAGTAGGCAACTTAACAAAAAACAAATATATACCCATTTCAATTATTTATTATTACCAGTGAAACCAATATAACATCTCAACATTCACAAATATACATTTCTGACATTCAAAAACAAAACAAAAACAAATCAGTGACCAATATAGCCACCTTTCTTTGCAAGGACACTCAAAAGCCTGCCATCCATGGATTCTGTCAGTGTTTTGATCTGTTCACCATCAACATTGCGTGCAGCAGCAACCACAGCCTCCCAGACACTGTTCAGAGAGGTGTACTGTTTTCCCTCCTTGTAAATCTCACATTTGATGATGGACCACAGGTTCTCAATGGGGTTCAGATCAGGTGAACAAGGAGGCCATGTCATTAGATTTTCTTCTTTTATACCCTTTCTTGCCAGCCACGCTGTGGAGTACTTGGACGCGTGTGATGGAGCATTGTCCTGCATGAAAATCATGTTTTTCTTGAAGGATGCAGACTTCTTCCTGTACCACTGCTTGAAGAAGGTGTCTTCCAGGAACTGGCAGTAGGACTGGGAGTTGAGCTTGACTCCATCCTCAACCCGAAAAGGCCCCACAAGCTCATCTTTGATGATACCAGCCCAAACCAGTACTCCACCTCCACCTTGCTGGCGTCTGAGTCGGACTGGAGCTCTCTGCCCTTTACCAATCCAGCCACGGGCCCATCCATCTGGCCCATCAAGACTCACTCTCATTTCATCAGTCCATAAAACCTTAGAAAAATCAGTCTTGAGATATTTCTTGGCCCAGTCTTGACGTTTCAGCTTGTGTGTCTTGTTCAGTGGTGGTCGTCTTTCAGCCTTTCTTACCTTGGCCATGTCTCTGAGTATTGCACACCTTGTGCTTTTGGGCACTCCAGTGATGTTGCAGCTCTGAAATATGGCCAAACTGGTGGCAAGTGGCATCGTGGCAGCTGCACGCTTGACTTTTCTCAGTTCATGGGCAGTTATTTTGCGCCTTGGTTTTTCCACACGCTTCTTGCGACCCTGTTGACTATTTTGAATGAAACGCTTGATTGTTCGATGATCACGCTTCAGAAGCTTTGCAATTTTAAGAGTGCTGCATCCCTCTGTGAGATATCTCACTATTTTTGACTTTTCTGAGCCTGTCAAGTCCTTCTTTTGACCCATTTTGCCAAAGGAAAGGAAGTTGCCTAATAATTATGCACAGCTGATATAGGGTGTTGATGTCATTAGACCACACCCCTTCTCATTACAGAGATGCACATCACCTAATATGCTTAATTGGTAGTAGGCTTCGAGCCTATACAGCTTGGAGTAAGACAACATGCATAAAGAGGATGATGTGGTCAAAATACTCATTTGCCTAATAATTCTGCACTCCCTGTATAAGGAGATGCTGATTGGCCAGGGCTGTGTTTGAATCATACTGGCTCTGACCCTGATCTGCCTCTTTGTCAGTCTCAGCCAATCCTATGGGAAAGCACTGTGATTGGATCAGGCCACCACTTCTAATGATGTCAGCAGACTGCTTGTTTTTATGAGCCTAACAGCATGCAGAGTTACATCTTCAAGCTTGAATATAGTAGGATTTTGCAATATTTATGGAGGCATGAGGGGCCCAGGGGGGCTTGATGGTGGTGTTAACACTATATGGTCATGAATTCATGTTTGTGTTCCTGACTCTATAGTGATCCTTTAAGGTAATGCTGACTTTGGTCTCTCTAACACTGTGGCATGTTCCCTTTCTTCTACACTCACTACATACAGCTTTTCTCTGTCCCAGACCATATACCAGGAGCTTCTGCCTGCTAGTAAGAAGGTTAGGAGACAAGTGGACCAGCGAGTGCTAGGGGACAGTCCTTAGAAAGTGTTGAGTGAGCACATCATTAGATGCATTTATGCCAAGCTCAGGGTGCTGTCTGCATAGTATGCCCTTAGTTGGCCAGCTGCATGATTGGCAGGCAGCCTGACATGCATTCATACCAGGCTGGCCTTCTAACTCTTTGAGCAGACATGTCCTCTTTTTGGGCATGTTCGCCCCTTTTGGCAGGTTACGTGATTTGTGTCAGTGGCACACCCTTTTACCATGCCCATTGACTTCCTGCCTGACTGGACACTGCTGTTAGGGGTTATGGATTTACTTAAAAGATGAAAACATAAATTAGAGAGAGATTAGCCTAGGGTATGTGTTTTCTTATAGCTGCTGTTTTCTTTCTCTCCAGCACCATCTCCATTAGATACATGACGCTTGGGAGAGTTTTACTGTTTTTGGTCGATATGATTCTGTAATTAGGCCCGTCATAATTGTCAGCACCAGGCCCACTGGGCTCTTAATCTGGCCCTGTCTGTTCCCCATGTGTTTCATCTGTTGGTTCAGCTGGATAGACTACCACAAGAACTGTGTAGTTACTGGGTGGCCACCATTTCATGTATCAGAGGCACATGGTGAGAACAATGGATTAAACACATGGTGAGAACAATGGATGGCGGCCATTTTAAGTCACAGGCACTGTTTGGACTTTTCTACACGGTGCCATCTCGACGGTATTTGGTGCACAAAGACATCGTGCAGTGGTTTTAAACTATACAACGGGGGGCACATTATACAGTAATTATTTTTCATATAGCCTGTATATGTTCTGCAGAATCTGTATTAAACCGTATCTTCCAAACTACTGAACGGATCTGGGTGAATTTTGGATATGTAGTTCACCCAGATCCCCCGGTTCAGATTATATATTTATGGGGTTATTGCATGTTTTGGGGTCCCTGTGATATGTTTTATAATACTGTATTTTCCTGCCTGTGATAATTAAGTTAGTCTATTGTGTTGAGATAATTGTATCACATGCAGAGGGGAGGATTTCTGATGTAATGAGTGGGAGTGTTAACTGTGTTGTAATGTGTTGATTGGTTGTTCTTCAAAACCCTTTGGGCAGTACTATGTTTGTAGAATGTGAATAAAAGAGGCTGTATGTGCCAGTACAGTCAGTTCTACTTCACCCTCAATTTGGAGTGCCGTCTCTTATTGGGGGAATATGCTACAAGGGATTGCTATGCTCTGCATACTCTCTTGCTATATTTACTGGTAAGCTCTTGTAAGAGCTTGTTCTTGTCCTGCTCTCTGAAGGAGTCTACGGTGGTTATGGTGTCTGCTGGAGTGCTTGGAGCCCTCAGGAAGAGCTAGGAGCATCCTTCAACGGAGGTACCCAGTCGGGGTGCAAGGTGATCCGTTACATACCCTTAGACCAATCAGTGAACAGGATATTCAGGATCACCTAATATGGGCAGACCGTATGACTCCTTTTAAGGACAAAGGAATGTGTCTACAGTTGATGCACATGCTGAGTACATTGATGACAGTATCTTAGCTACATGTAACTAACTAACAGATACAACAAACACCTGTACTTGTGTAGCGGAACGCCTTTTTGGCTGTCTTATTCCTTTTATTAATTGTTGGCCCTGCAGAGATTTTCCTGTGCCTAAAGTACCCAAAACTCTAAGTGACTAGCTATGGACATACTTTGTTCGGTATGGGAATAACAGCTGACATGTGAACCACCAAAATTCCCCATACGAACAAAGTACCGAATGAACTGGACCACCCTGATGTGTATAATGGATCTATTTACCTCCTTGCTTGCATTTCATTCCCTTGTACGCACGAACCTGCCGCCATTTCGGCAGCCGAACACGTGGCGGCCGCCATCTTAAATCCGCGAACAGCGGTGTTTGGCCGTCGAGTGTCTGGAACTGAAAACGGACACTCGACTAGCCGAACACCGCTAAGACCTCCAGGACTTCAGAAGGCATGGATGGAAACCCACGAACGGCCGAACGGCCTGGCGTTTGGTAGGATGAATCCCACAAACTAGGGGATTCATCCGGTTACCGAAGGCACTATGGATGCTATAACAATTCGGGACATTTGGGGCACGAATGGAGACCGACCGCAGGGCCAGATTTCATGGAACTATTTTCGGCTACTTTGTTGAGGCGTTCGGTCAAAACTTTATCTTTCCATAACTCCCGAACTCCTGGTCTGGGTGATTTTTGGATATGTTCCTCACCCAGATCAGGGCTATCAGGGGGTACCATAGTTAAGGGCATATTCCACCTATTTGGGGTACATCTGAAAAGTGGGGAAAAATGTGCTGTGTATAATTGTGTTAAAAGATGATCTAAGGGGAGGAGATGTGTGGGAGGTAACGTCGCTGGCATTGGACCATAGAGAGAGAGAGAGAGAGAGAGAGAATGCTGATATGGAAATTACACAATAGAGAAAAGAAAATAAAGATAAAATGTAAAAAATATATAAATATGAAAAAAAAAATATTAATGTTAAAAATTTGTTGTTAGTGCTGGTTAGTCCTGGTTAGTGCTGGTTAGTTCTAGTTAGTCCTGTTTAGTGCTGGCTAGTTCTAGTTAGTCCTGGCTAGTCCTGGTTAGTGCTGGTTAGTCCTGGTTAGTACTAGTTAGTCCTGGTTAGTGCTGGCTAGTTCTAGTTAGTCCTGGTTAGTGCTGGTTAGTGCTGGCTAGTTCTAGTTAGTCCTGGTTAGTGCTGGTTATAGCTAAACTCAATGCATTCTCAGTGTCTCCCACCACAAACATGGCCGCCGCGGCCTCAGCGCCGACAGGAAGTGAGGTGCGTTTCCGGTGACGCGGCGGTGGGCGTGGCGCTGCGGGAGAAGACGAGGAGAGCAAGATGGCGGCCTGAGCGCAGGATGTCCGAGGAGGGTCAGGGGCCGCTGGCCTCGTCATCCGCTGCCGGGCAGGAGGACCCCCCGAGCCTGGCCGGACCCCCCCGCCTCATCCTGCTCCCCCCAGAGCCCGACCCCGAGGGGCCCCCCAAAAAACGGCCCCGGGCGGACCCCGAAACCGGGACTGTGCGGCTGGAGGAGAGACTGTACGGAGTGCTGTGCTGTACGGTGTGCCTGGACCTCCCCAAGGCCTCAGTGTACCAGGTCAGGGGGGCTGGGGGGACCCCAATATCATACAGCCCAATATATAGACACTGAACCCCCAGATATAACCAGTGACCCCCAATATCATACTGTACGGAGTGCTCTGCTGTACGGTGTGTCTGGACCTCCCCAAGGCCTCAGTGTACCAGGTCAGGGGGGCTGGGGGGACCCCAATATCATACAGCCCAATATATAGACACTGAACCCCCAGATATAACCAGTGACCCCCAATATCATACTGTACGGAGTGCTCTGCTGTACGGTGTGCCTGGACCTCCCCAAGGCCTCAGTGTACCAGGTCAGGGGGGCTGGGGGGACCCCAATATCATACAGCCCAATATATAGACACTGAACCCCCAGATATAACCAGTGACCCCCAATATCATACTGTACGGAGTGCTGTACGGTGTGCCTGGACCTCCCCAAGGCCTCAGTGTACCAGGTCAGGGGGGCTGGGGGGACCCCAATATCATACAGCCCAATATATAGACACTGAACCCCCAGATATAACCAGTGACCCCCAATATCATACTGTACGGAGTGCTGTGCTGTACGGTGTGCCTGGACCTCCCCAAGGCCTCAGTGTACCAGGTCAGGGGGGCTGGGGGGACCCCAATATCATACAGCCCAATATATAGACACTGAACCCCCAGATATAACCAGTGACCCCCAATATCATACTGTACGGAGTGCTCTGCTGTACGGTGTGCCTGGACCTCCCCAAGGCCTCAGTGTACCAGGTCAGGGGGGCTGGGGGGACCCCAATATCATACAGCCCAATATATAGACACTGAACCCCCAGATATAACCAGTGACCCCCAATATCATACTGTACGGAGTGCTGTGCTGTACGGTGTGCCTGGACCTCCCCAAGGCCTCAGTGTACCAGGTCAGGGGGGCTGGGGGACCCCAATATCATACAGCCCAATATATAGACACTGAACCCCCAGATATAACCAGTGACCCCCAATATCATACTGTACGGAGTGCTGTGCTGTACGGTGTGCCTGGACCTCCCCAAGGCCTCAGTGTACCAGGTCAGGGGGGCTGGGGGGACCCCAATATCATACAGCCCAATATATAGACACTGAACCCCCAGATATAACCAGTGACCCCCAATATCATACTGTACGGAGTGCTGTGCTGTACGGTGTGCCTGGACCTCCCCAAGGCCTCAGTGTACCAGGTCAGGGGGGCTGGGGGGACCCCAATATCATACAGCCCAATATATAGACACTGAACCCCCAGATATAACCAGTGACCCCCAATATCATACTGTACGGAGTGCTCTGCTGTACGGTGTGCCTGGACCTCCCCAAGGCCTCAGTGTACCAGGTCAGGGGGCTGGGGGGACCCCAATATCATACAGCCCAATATATAGACACTGAACCCCCAGATATAACCAGTGACCCCCAATATCATACTGTACGGAGTGCTCTGCTGTACGGTGTGCCTGGACCTCCCCAAGGCCTCAGTGTACCAGGTCAGGGGGGCTGGGGGGACCCCAATATCATACAGCCCAATATATAGACACTGAACCCCCAGATATAACCAGTAACCCCCAATATCATACTGTACGGAGTGCTGTGCTGTACGGTGTGCCTGGACCTCCCCAAGGCCTCAGTGTACCAGGTCAGGGGGGCTGGGGGGACCCCAATATCATACAGCCCAATATATAGACACTGAACCCCCAGATATAACCAGTGACCCCCAATATCATACTGTACGGAGTGCTGTGCTGTACGGTGTGCCTGGACCTCCCCAAGGCCTCAGTGTACCAGGTCAGGGGGGCTGGGGGGACCCCAATATCATACAGCCCAATATATAGACACTGAACCCCCAGATATAACCAGTGACCCCCAATATCATACTGTACGGAGTGCTGTACGGTGTGCCTGGACCTCCCCAAGGCCTCAGTGTACCAATATCATACTGTACGGAGTGCTCTGCTGTACGGTGTGCCTGGACCTCCCAAGGCCTCAGTGTACCAGGTCAGGGGCTGGGGGGACCCCAATATCATACAGCCCAATATATGAACTACTGAATCCCCAGATATAACCGAAGTGACCCCCCAATATCATACTGTACGGAGTGCTGTGCTGTACGGTGTGCCTGGACCTCCCCAAGGCCTCAGTGTACCAGGTCAGGGGGGCTGGGGGCACCCCAATATCATACAGCCTAATATATAGACACTGAACCCCCAGATATAACCAGTGACCCCCCAATATCATACTGTACGGAGTGCTGTGCTGTACGGTGTGCCTGGACCTCACGAGGCCTCAGTGTGGGTCAGAACAAGGGGGGGGACCCCAATATCATACAGCCCAATATATAGACTTACTGAACCCCCCAGATATAACCAGTGACCCCAATATCATATTACTATGCAGTGCTGTGCTTATGCCCGGTGTGCCTGGACCTCCCCAAGGCCTCAGTGTGCAGATTCAGGGGGCTGGGGGACCCCAATATCATACACAGCCAATATATGGGTACTGAACCCCAGATATAACCAGTGACCCCCAATATCATACTATGCGGAGAGCTCTGCTTATGCGGTGTGCCTGTGGACCTCCCAAGGCCTCAGTGGCCTGCCAGTTCAGGGGGCTGGGGGACCCCAATATCATACAGCCCAATATATAGACACTGAACCCCCAGATATAACCGGTGACCCCCAATATCATACTGTACGGAGTGCTCTGCTGTACGGTGTGCCTGGACCTCCCCAAGGCCTCAGTGTACCAGGTCAGGGGGGCTGGGGGCACCCCAATATCATACAGCCCAATATATAGACACTGAACCCCCAGATATAACCAGTGACCCCCAATATCATACTGTACGGAGTGCTGTGCTGTACGGTGTCTGGACCTCCCCAAGGCCTCAGTGTACCAGGTCAGGGGGGCTGGGGGGACCCCAATATCATACAGCCCAATATATAGACACTGAACCCCCAGATATAACCAGTGACCCCCAATATCAAAACACCGCTGTTCGGGAGTTTTAAAATGGCCGCCGCCACGTGTTCATTTCCCGAATGGCGGCCACCCCGAGAACAAAGGACCCACTGCACAGCTTGTCAATTACCCGTTCGCAACATTGTTGCAACGGGTAATTGAAGGCACACTTCACACTGGGGAGGTCTGACTGTTCGGTAGTTTCAGTCCCTTAATTGCTAGAATGATTCTACCGAACAATCAGACGAATACAACCTATTTTTACATATATAACCCTGCAATTTAAACGAATACATTCAAACATATGCAATTTCCAGGACAGCCCAGTGCCATCCGCTACAGCCTATTTAGGGTTTCTGGCTTTAAAAGGACACTCTTACATTGTGCGTTTGTTTTTGTACGATGGAATTATTGTGTCGTTGGTTGTTTAGTATACTCTGTGTATACGGAGATCGTTATTGCAGAAAGTGATGGCCGATCACCCTTTCTGTCTGTTCATTTAGTGCACCAATGGGCACTTGATGTGTGCCGGCTGTTTCATCCACCTCCTGGCTGATGCCCGGCTGAAGGAAGAGCAGGCCACGTGTCCGAACTGCCGCTGTGAGATCAGTAAGAGTCTGTGCTGCAGGAACCTGGCCGTGGAGAAAGCGGTCAGTGAGCTGCCGTCTGAGTGCGGCTTCTGCGTCAAGCAGTTTCCTCGTTCTCTGCTGGAGAGACACAAGAAGGAGGAGTGTCAGGACAGGTAACAGGAGCCACATCGCAAAGCTGCATCCTTCATTAGAATTAAGTAGATAAATTCAGCATTTTAGATTCTTTTCCAAATGTCTATTGACGATAGGAACACATTTCACCAAACGGCTGAAGCCGGCTTCCTGTTGGGTGGACCATAAAGTCAGGTGGAATGAAGCTCTGTCTGTGTCCCCTCATCCCATCCCCTCAAGCCTATGTAGTGTCCCCTAAATGACATTTAATGCGTTCCTTATTGTAAGGGACACTATAGTCACCAAAACAACTTTAGCTTAATGAAGCAGTTTTTGTGTATAGATCATAATGTAACTGCAGCCGGTTCCCCCTTTTAACACATACTGCATAGAATTTATCAGGGCTGACCATACAGATATCTTCGTCATAATATTATATAGTTAGTAAGAGATCCTCTATTTAAAATATATACATTATTGAGAATACAATCTAAAATAGGGATTGTCTTTGACAGCCTCAGCCAATCCTATGGGAAAGCTTTGTGACTGGCTCAGAGCACCATTTCTGATGATGTCAGCCAAGCAGGCAGATCGGGGCAGAGGCAGCAACTGCTGATTTGAACAAAAGTACAATTTTACTATATTTAGGGAGGCCAGGGGTCTATATGGTGGTTTTAACATGTTTGTGTTCCCTTACACTGTATACTGTAGTGTACATTAAGCTGTATGCTGTGCAATCTGCTGTATACTGTACATTAAAGGATTACTATAGGGTCAGGAACTCAAACATGTATTCAAACATGTTAAAATCACTATTTAAAACAGTGTTTGCAGGAAAATGCCTGAAGGGAGCTATTATACTCACCAGAACAAATACATTAAGCTGTACATTGTACATTAAGCTGTATATTATACATTAAGCTGTTTATTAAGCTGTATATTGTACGTTAAGCTGTATATTGTACATTAAGCTGTACATTGTACATTAAGCTGTATATTGTACATTAAGCTGTACATTGTACATTAAGCTGTATATTAAGCTGTACATTGTACATTAAGCTGTAGTTGTTCTGCTGATTATAGTGTCCCTTTAAAATTTAGTTTAAAGAGCAGGAGATATACCTTTTAAACTGTTACATCTGTTTCCATACAGGCTGTATTAGTCACAGCCAGGTGTGCCTAGGGCTGTATAAACATAGTGATTTAACTCCTAAATTGCAGAGAATTTGAAGGCAGCGAGACCGCATGGGCATGATCTATACACCAATATAGCTTTATTAAGATTGTTGTTTTGGTGACTATAGTGTCTCTTTAAACAGTTGGCCAACATTAAATACGGTGTCAGGGTGTAATCCTGTAAGGCCTTCGAATTGGTGATCCTCCCAAGGGCATAGGTTTAAAGGGGTACAAAGTCATTCACTTTAGCCAATAGAGTAGTAATAGGTGGGCATTTCTATAAACCATGCTTAAGATTTGCATTTTCTAAAGATCGTATTGTGCATTGGTTGTAAGGGAAGAATTTCGTTTAGACATCTATTTATAGAAAATATTCTCTCCATACTAAATGCTTGCTATTGGCATGAGAAATATATGGAGTGGTTACATTGTATTGGAATATCCGTTTAATAACATATTATTGGTTTATTATCTCTGCAGGGTGACCCAGTGTAAATATAAACGGATTGGGTGCCCGTGGCAGGGCCCATTCCATGAGCTCACTGTGCACGAATCCGAGTGCTGTCACCCCACTAAAACAGGCAGCGAACTGATGGAGATTTTGGGGGAGATGGATCAGACTCACAAGAAAGAGATGCAGTTATACAACAGCATCTTCAGCCTGTTGAGCTTTGAGAAGATTGGTTACACAGGTAAGGGTCGAGCTGTGCCCTGCTGGGAGAGACTTTTCTCGTCTCATTTGTGGTTTTGGGTGGGGATTGTAATATTTCACTGTCCTATTTCTTTGCATGTCATTTTTGTGCTTTTTAGGATCCAGTAAGGATTTAAACTCGAAATCCCTAAGAGTGACTCCGAAGAGCTTGTTTTCCGTGAGGGTAGTCCACTATTAGGTAAGTGTCACCAAGGAAGTGACTAGGGTTGTTCTCAAAGTGTAGTAGCTGTCTCTGAGTATCAGCTGCTGGTCTTTGTTCGGACCCACTAGGTGTCAGTCTCCTTGGTGGCACATCACCTGATCATGTTCTCATTTAGTAAAGATTGGTCTGGACAGAAGTCCTGTTTCCTGGACCTTTTCACGCCTTTTTTTTTTTTTCTTAGTAGTGGGAGGTGGGATTTGAAAGTTTCTCTTGTGATTCTTTGATATTGAGAACCAGAATTCAGAAGATGATGTAGAGAACTCTCCAGTGTAATCAGACATGGTGCCTCTTTCTTTAGGGTGCAGGGGAAGAGAGACCCCCTCCCCCCCCGATACCCTCTTCTTTCACCAGCTCTTCTTGATTGGCCGATCGTTGGAATTGTGGAAACGTGACATCTTGGTCTTTCTGATGGGAGGTAAGGCAGCCCATTTCATCTATGTGGTGCTACTGAATCGGCAGTGATGGATCTTTGGGGCACTACCATCTAAATATCCTGCTTTTAGGGTTTTTGTGAACACGATTTTAGCTCTTTACAAGAAAGTCATATGGCAAAAACAATGAAGAGTTTGTAGACAGAAAAATTCCAGTCTTACGTGTCGTTGGATTGTTCTAACCGCCTTCTAGTGTAGTTTCACCTGGCTTCTAATCTCTACCTACTTGACCTTCTTTCTGCTCTCCTACTTGTCCGCTGTGATCAGAGATCTGCTAGGTTTCCTGTAATAGGCTCTGGGTGTTTTCTGAGCCTGTCTGGGGAGGTTGAGACACAGGTAAGTGGTGGTCAGTTTGCCTGGTTACTATATACCCATTTAATGCTTGTCGTTCTCCCTCAGTATAGGATGGACTTTGCTTTGGTTGTCAGAACACCAAAGTGAGCTCTTAGAATGAGCAAGAGACACACCTGGTTTGGGGACTTACATTGCCACGTGGTTTCAACATTCTTCTTGCCTTAATTAAGCCCTTGGTATATGTGTGTGACATGCACCTGTTCCTTTAAAATGTCTACCAGCAAATTTTCATCTACTAGTGTGTTTCTGCAAATGTGGCGCCGTTCAAAATTGCTGTATTTCTAATCCTGGGGAATGGCGTGTCTGTACCTGGTTTTTCATCTCATTGGAATAAAACTGTTCTTTAAAATCAATCTGTCTGTGTGTTCTTACCAAACAAGAATCCCAGCTGTCCACATATATTGTAATGGGGGAGAATTGTGTCACTGTGTAACATAAACCCTGTATATGACACTGATAGAAAAGGAAGCATTAAGTAAAGTTTCTTACTGAGGTCGGAGTGTCACCAGTCGGTACGGGTAAAGTAATCTATTGGTAAGTTCCTACAGTAAACCAGACTGGTCCAATTGTATTGGTTCCGAATTGTTCACTCTGCGTGCGGCCCTTGGCTCTGGTTAATGTTCATGTCTTGAAGTATGTTTTTAAATGATTTCTTTAAAGCAGGGGTGGACTAAAACTCCTATAATGCTCTTACAGCCATAATGCTAGCAAAGCATCAAGGGAAATGTAGTCCACAACATCTGCAGGGCCAAAGGTTCCCCACCCCTGCTTTAAAGCATGTTCATGTGTCATCTGATGAGGTGTTAGGTTTTCAAGTGTAGTGAATAGTGTTGAAGCAGAAAGCACTGTGCGCTAAAGCACTGTACCTCTCTATAACATCAGTCAGGAAGTGGCACTGTAGTGTGTGTGTGTGCTGCAGCACTGTACCTCTCTATAAGATCAGTCAGGGAGTGTCAATGGAGTGTGTGTGTGTGTGCGCGCGCGCTGAAGCACTGTACCTCTTTATAAGATCAGTCAGGGAGTGTCAATGTAGTGTGCGCGCGAGCTGAAGCACTGTACCTTTCTATAAGATGTGTCAGTGGTGTGTGTGTGTGTGTGTGTGTGTGCTGAAGCACTGTACCTCTCTGTAAGATGTGTCAGTGGTGTGTGTGTGTGTGTGTGTGTGCTGAAGCACTGTACCTCTCTGTAAGATCAGTCAGCGAGTGTCAATGTAGTGTGTGTGTGTGTGTGTGCTGAAGCACTATACTTTATAAGATCAGTCAGGGAGTGGCGATGTAGTGTGTGTGTGTGTGTGTGTGTGCTGAAGCACTATACTTTATAAGATCAGTCAGGGAGTGGCGATGTAGTGTGTGTGTGCTGAAGCACTGTACCTCTCTATAAGATCAGTTAGGGAGTGGCGATGTAGTGTGTGTGTGCTGAAGCACTGTACCTCTCTATAAGATCAGTTAGGGAGTGGCGATGTAGTGTGTGTCGAAGCACTGTACCTCTCTAAGATAAGTCAGGGAGTGGGTGTTGGTGTGTGTGAGATGCAGGACTGTACCTGTATATTGGTTGTGTATCGATTCACCAATAAAGTTAGTCTGTTCATCTCCCTTTTAAACCAATGCAGGAGCGACCATTGTGTGACTCGTCGGCTCTCACAGGTAACGTGGTGTAGTAGGGGGAGCGTGGAATAACTTGGTCTGGCTGTAATTCTTCTCTTTTCTCTTCCCCTCCTGCTTCTGCCACAGAAGTCCAGTTCCGGCCGTACAGGACAGATGACTTCATTACCCGTTTGTACTATGAAACTCCTCGGTTCACAGTGCTAAACCAGTCGTGGGTGCTGAAAGCCCGCGTTAATGATTCTGAGAGGAACCCCAACTTATCATGCAAGCGCACCCTGTCCTTCCAACTCATCCTCAAAAGCAAGATCAACTCCCCCATGGAGTGCTCCTTTCTGCTGCTCAAAGGTCCATACGATGATGTAAAAATCCACCCAGTCATCTACCACTTTGTGTTCACAAATGAGAACAATGAGACGGAGTATGTCCCACTGCCCATCATAGACTCTGTGGAGTGTAACAAGCTGCTGGCTGCAAAGAATATCAATCTGCGCCTCTTTATATTTCACATCCAGAAATGAGCCTGCCACGTTCACCTCACCCGTCTCCATCACGTTCCTTGTTCCAGGCTTTCTCTGTCAGTTGGAGTTTGCATGTAAATGAAAATCCTGATTGTTTGGTCCCAGGAGTGCATTGATACCTCGCAGGCTTCCATAGACTGGCCCTCGGCACCTTTTATTTTTGTCCTATCCTATTTTACTGGCTCACTTCTATTTTTGTTTTTCTCCTCTTCTCACGTCTTGGCTAATTTACTCTCATTCTCTACATGTATTGTTTGTTTTTCGTTTAACTTTTTTTTTTTTTAATGCTTCCCCTTTAGTATTGTTTCCCTCCTGAAGCCCACGGTTCCCTTTCCTTCCTCTCGGCCGGCTAGGAGCAAGACTGAACCATGGCCTAAATAGACATTATTTATTTATTTACAGGTTATTTTATCTCTTTTAGTTAATGGAAGTAATTGTAGCAGTAAGCTGGTATCCCTGTCCTTATGGTAATCTGAGTAATAAGTAAATGGTTCCCATGTAACTACAGCAGTATTTAAAGACTCATTTTTAATTTAAGGTTCTAAAGCCACCCCCATCCCCTGGGCGCTAAGGTTGAGTCAAGCTGTAGCAAGGTCTGATATAAAACACGAGGCTAAACATACATTTTGGTTTAGAGAGGCACAATGGCTGCTTGTATGAGCTGTATGGATGTTTTTTTGGGGAGTTGGACAGACTTGGAATATGAGCAGCATTGTCAATGCTCAGACTGCAGTAACCATTTTCCATAAATCCCCAAATCTCACCGTATGCCCCACTATTTATTACATTTACCCAAGCTCTTGGTGCAATGTGTGGGTGTTGTATCTCTGAAACTGAAAGGGGACTGTGCTGCTTTATAATGAAGATATTGAGGCTTTATTTTATATATATTGGTGTTTTATGGAGAGTTAAGGCAGTCTTTTCATACTATGCGATTTGCAGGAAGCGGTCGTGTTGCGCCACACACGCATGATACACTTGCTTGGAGTCCTGGCTGTCCTGTATGGGGGACACAGCTATGTGAACAGTGTCTCCATATCTGCTCCATGTTCTTTTCTGATCTATCCCCAAACGAACCTTTCCTCTCTTTACACGATTACCTGGCACAGAGCTAACCTGCTCTGTTTAATTTGTGTTCCATGCGCTGTGTGTGCGGAGATGATGGGATGTCTGTGCATCTGCTTGTAGGTCAGCCTGTGTTCAAACCTCTTGCCAAGAAACTGATTAAAATGGTTCTAGTTAACTGCTCTGCCGAGCTATTGGTTTGGTTTTCTCTTTCTTTTCAATAAAATGTGTGTGAGTGAGTGTGCATTGTATTCTGTATAAAGGGGTAGGAATAAACTGGGATATCATTATATAGATGAAAGCGAGTTTATCATGTGACGGAGATGGGATCTGGTTCCATACGTACGCTCCGATCTCCTCCAGTGATCCCGTATCACACCATGGAGTCTGGGCACAGCCGATGGTGACTGAGGTGAGGGAGCAAAACATGCCAGATAAAGAAAGCAAGTTAATAACGCAAAATCGAAAGGCTGCATGTTTCTCTTTAAATTCACACGTAAGGGCTTTCTCCATTGTTCCAGTAATTTGTGACCCGAGTCAGTGAGTGCATTCATTTAATATTTTTATTATTTATATAGCACCATCAGATTCCATAGCGCTGTACAATATCCCAGCAATGTGTCTATACCTTGTATTTAACCGTTTATCCATTATCTAATAGCGACAACCCTGAGTAGCCATTTTGGAATGTGTTCCCTCTGGGGGTATTCTTCAGCCTTTAACTTAGCAGTGATGTCCATGGAGTCTGTCAAATCACGCTCCGCGTCCATCCTCCAATTATCCATAGTTCTGGCCCCGATTGACGGGGGGGGGGAGAGACACACGCTAACTGTGCTTGCTAGGGCCTGAGACTTAAACACCCCCCCCACCCCCCCATTCATGATCCCTATGTGAAGGAAGAGATGGGGGGGGGATTGCCCTATGCCATCTTACTCCATGATGTAAATGCTGTACAGTGAGGGCTATAGTAATGCCTGGGGCCCTATGGGATGTTAATGTACTCTGCTATGTTTCTATGTGTTATAGCACCAAACCACATTTATAGAAACGTTTTCCAAATGTAGATACAGATGAAATACAAAGTTTCTATTACAGGAAAACAGTCTTTGAAGTCTTCGTATTCTATCATATCTATCAAATGCCAACTAGTACTGCTTTTAAATATCCTCCGGTATTCACAGGGACGTATACAAATGGAAGTGTTAAAAAGGTAAAACACATTTCAAGACAAAAAAAAGAGTACGTGATTGAGATGTACAACTTATGGGATATAAAGCAAACTAATTCAATAAGCAATTTAACATCCAAACGGGAATAATCTCATAAATATTCAAACTAGTCAATATCCTGATTTGTAAAGCAAGACTTTCCTTACTGTTTCTGAATTAACGCAAACACGGATGGTGTGTAGCTCTTATCTTCAGACTCTCCCATTGCAATGACTGATAACTCCCGTTAAAAGGGCTGATCGTTCCAGTTGTGGTGGCCAATACGTCCAGGTGAACACAGAGAATTCCTGTGGGTAATCCATTATAACTACAACAAGAGGACATAGTCTTAAATTAGAGGGACAGAGGTTTAAAAATAATATCAGGAAGTATTACTTTACTGAGAGGGTAGTGGATGCATGGAATAGCCTTCCAGCTGAAGTGGTAGAGGTTAACACAGTAAAGGAGTTTAAGCATGCGTGGGATAGGCATAAGGCTATCCTAACTATAAGATAAGGCCAGGGACTAATGAAAGTATTTAGAAAATTATCTGCAGTCACATGCTATGTAACTCGATATAAGCCGTGATTTATAGCCACTCTGGCCTTTCCATAGATATAAAACACAATGAACACCGGTAGCGCCCATTGACAGGGCCAATTGCTCTTGTTGAAATTCCCAATAGCTCCTGCTGAAATTGCTGATAGCTCCTATTGAGAGGGCTGATAATTCCCATTGCAATGACTGATAGCTCCCGTTAAGATGGCCGATAGCTTTTGTTGAAATTACTGATCGCTCCCGTTAAAAGGGCTGATAGCTCTAGTTGAAATTACTGATAGCTCCTATTGACACAGCCAATACCTCCCATTGAACGGGCCAAAAGCTCCTGTTGAGATCGCTCCAGTTGAAATGGACAATAGCTCCAGTTGAAATTACTCATAGAAACGTAGAATGTGACGGCAGAAAAGAACCATAAGGCCCATCTAGTCTGCCCAATTTTCTAAATACTTTTATTAGTCCCTGGCCTTATCTTATAGTTAGGATAGCCTTACGTCTATCCCACGTATGCTTAAACTCCCTCACTGTGTTAACCTCTACCACATCAGATGGAAGTCTATTCCATGCATCCACTACCCTGTGTTGATTACCTTTATGTATTTAAATGTTTCTATCATATCCCCCCTGTCTCGTCTTTCCTCCAAGCTATACATGTTAAGTTCCTTTAACCTTTCCTTGTAAGTTTTATCCTGCAATCCATGAACCCGTTTAGTAGCCTGTAGCGGGACCTGGGTAACCTGGCTGGGATAGGTTAGGATAGGTCATACCCATTTCCCCAGTAACTGGACAGGACACAGTTCCAGAATACAATCTTTGACAATGTTTATTTGGGCACACAGCTTTTTATGCACAGACCCTCGTAGCGGGTCTTCATCCAACACAATCTCATGCAGGAGGCAGTTGCGGAACAGATAACCATTTCCGTTAGGGGAGGAAGGAGTTTTGCCGCCCAATCCGAAAAAAGGGCGTGAAACTCAGCTGCACCAATTGGTGCTCGGGGAGCAGAGGGGTTTCGAGGCCCAATTAGAAGGCACAAAGCTTATTTGCACCAATCAGCGCCCAGGGACAAGTGGAGGTCTCGCCGACCAATCAGACAGAAGGACGTGAAACCCCGTTTGAACCAGTGCTTCTTCTTGCTCCTTCTCCCATTGGTTGGCACAGACTTCCATGCAGCCAGCAGGAACCCAGCGGCCGTGAGACCGACTCAAATCCCCCAGGGACTCCCTGCTGGCGTGCGTCCCGCTCTCCGGTGTATACCCCCACGAAGGTATCCACCGGAGCGAGCGCACTCCTGGGCAGCCACAAGCAGGATGTTATGGTCAAAATTACAGAAAGAGGAATATGAAAGAGGGGAAACACACATTCTACGAGGGCACATCCACACATATATACAAGGCAATTCACAGTTGAGGCGGCAGTCCCGCCACACAGGTCCCCCATAACCAACAACCAGCATGCGCTGCCTGATCCCGACGGATCAGCTGGGGAATGTCCAGGGAAAGTGCTCACGGATCATTTATCTAGGGCTGTCTGTCTGGACAACCCATCGGCATTGCCATTCTGCTTACCAGGTCAGTAGTGGATGGTAAAGTCATATGGTTGTAGGGCCAGGCACCAGAGCAGCCTGGCATTGTCCCCTGCGACCTGGTTAAGCCAGACCAACGAGTTGTGAATTGCAGGGTGAATTGCTGTTCCTACAGATAGGGCTGCAGCTTTTTGAGTGCCCACATCACTGCCAGGCACTCCTTCTCAATGGCAGTGTAGCTTACTTCCCTGGGCAGCAGCTTCCTGGGGTGTTCTCCGCCATCATCCCCGACCTGGTTCAGCACTGCTCCTAATCCAAACATGGAGGCATCTGTGTGAACAAGAAAGTGTTTTCTGGGATTAGGAGCAGCCAGGACAGGGGCTTTGCGATGGCACCGTAATTGGGGACGACCTTCATATAGTAGCCGGCGGTCCCTCGGAAAGCCAGTACCTGGGTCTTAGTGAGGGGACGGGGCCAGCTAGCTACTGCCTCCACTTTGGCAGGTTCTGGCTTCTGTGCCCCACAACCCACCCGAGCCTGGTAGTCCCGTCTTTATTCAGGACTAGGACTACTGGGGAGGCACAAGGGCTTGTGGATGTTCGATGACCTCTAGCTGGAGCATCTCCTGGATTTCCTGTTGCATGCTCCTCCGCACAGCCTCCGGCACCCGATAGGGGGCCTGCCGTAGGGGCTGTTGGTCATGGGTTTCCACTCTATGGGTGGCCAGGGGGGTATACCCTGGTAGGTTGGAGGTCGTTCGCCTAGCGAACAACTTCTGTTTCGCCTGTCTGCGTTTGCTCTCAGTTAGTCGGTCCCCTAACTGGACCTCTTCTATGGACCCTGCCTGAGTCCCATCCTCTAGGAGGTCAGGCAGGTGAAGATTGCCATAATCATCTGAGGCTGATGCTCAAATGGCGGCGGCATCCTCTATCCACTCGTGGTAGGGCTTGAGCATGTTCACATGCAACACGCATCGTACTCCGGTAGCTGAGCATGGGCGGGTCACATAGGTAGTGTCCACTTTCTGTTGCACTACCTGGTATGAGCCCTGCCAGGGAGCCTATTGCCTATTGTGTCGGACAGGTTTCAGCACCGAAACCTTCTGCCCGACAGCTCTTGGCGCCCCGATCGTACCATGTGCACTTGCACCTCTGGGCCACCTGGAGGCTCCCTCGCACCAGATGGATGAGTTCCTCCAGTCGGTCCCTAAACTCCAGCACATATGGAACGATGGGGGTCCCTTCCTGATCCCCAGCTCCCGCACTAGGTCTAAGGGTCCCCTTACTCTCCGCCCGAACATTAGTACTAACTGGGAGAACCCAGTCGATTTCTGCGGCACCTCCCGATAAGCAAACAGGAGATGGGGCAGGAATTTCTCCCAATCCTTGTGAGTCACCGCAAAAGTACGGAGCATTTGCTTCAATGTACCGTTGGAGCGCTCACACAGGCCATTGGTCTGTGGCAAGGGGAGCTCAGGATTGGTTTAATGCCGCACAACCTCCATTTCGGCAGTAAACTGGGTGCCCTGATCCGAGAGAATCTCCCAGGGAAAACCCATCTGGGAGAACACTCGCATCAGGGCTTCGGCCACAGTCTCTGCCCGAATGTTGCTCAGGGCGACTGCCTCGGGATACCAAGTCACGTAGTCCACGATAGTCAGACTGTACTTCTTCCCAGAGGGACTAGGCTTGGCTAGGGGACCTATGATGTCGACAGCTACCCTGCCAAACGGATCTTCGATAATTGGGAAGGCGTTGCCGGTCCCCCCGCTTCCCCACTCTCTGGGGCAAGGTCAGGGGTAGGCGCTTGGGGTTCAGGTAAGGGATATGAGTGGCCGGGTGTAGGGTCGGGAATGGCGCCCAGAGGGCAGGGGGCGAAGTCTGGGTTTTTGCTGACAGGGCTTTCTATGGGATCTTGAGGGGTGGAAAGGGGCAGGCTTGCTGGCAGTTCATCACTGGATAGACTTCTCCCTGGGTCGGGATGGGGACGAAAGCGGAGGCAAGATGTCCCAGGTCGTTGCCGAGAAGTACCTCGGCAGGCAGCCGGTCCATGAGGCCCACTTCAGTTCTCCAGGCTCCAGCTCCCCAATCCAGGTGAACGTGTGCAGTGCCCCTATCTGTTCCTCCTCCGGAACAAGCTGTGGACTCACCAGCGTTAGAGTGGCTCCTGTATCTCGGAGCCCCTGGACCTTGTGTCCGTTCAGCCGTACTGCCTGTCTGTGGTGGTTATCTTGGGTAGCCAGTACAGGGTTGACCTCATGTAAGATGGTCCAGGCTTCTTTGTCTGGGTTCTGGAACTCTGTGGGGTCGTTGTGGTAGCAGAGAGCTGTGGTTCGTGGGTTGGCAAGGACTACGGGGGTGACCCACAGTTTTGTTGGCAGTTAATTTTGTGGTTGCACTGTAAGCAGCGCAAATCAACCCCAGCGTAGGCTTGCTGGAGGGGTGCTTGGACCAGGAGTCCACAGAGAGGAGTTGTGGTTATGAGGTTGGGCTGGACCAGCGGTCAATAGGGCAAAGGGGGCACTGGGGCCGCCGGGTGTCGAAATATTCATCGGCCCGCTGAGCCGCCTTGGTGAGGGTCTGTGGCTGACGGTCTCTCACCCATTCTCGTATGTCGTTGGGGAGCCCATTGAAAAAATGCTCCAGCATGACGAGCTGGGTGATCTCCTCCGGGGACTTAGCTTGATGGGAGTTGAGCCAGTTCTGGGTGGCCCTTGTGATGCGGCATGCCCACTCCACATGGGAGTCCTTCTCCCCTTTCCGGGTCTCCCTAAACTTTCTGCAGTATTGCTCGGGGGTGACAGCATACCTGGCCAGGAGCATCTGTTTGATAAAGGGGTAGTCCCTGATGTGGTCTTCCGATCCGGTAGGCATCCGCTGCCTTCCCCACTAATTTGCTGGCCAGGATGGTGACCCAGTCGGTGGGTTCAACGTCTTGGAGTAGGCACTGGTGCACAAAGTCTTGTAAAAATAATCAATGCCTTCTTCTGCTTCCTTGAACTCTTTGAAGGCATTGTACGGTGGTTTGTGGGCCGGGGCGGTTGAGTTTCCTGGCGCCCTCTCTTTCATTCCTTCCTCCATCTGAGTTCGCAGTGGTCGCCCTCTGTCTATTGGCGCCTCCAAAAAAAGGTCCTGCTGACAAACTCCTCTGAGGGTGGTTCTCTGTAATATGCCAGGCGCTGGTCCACCTCCTTGCGCGCTTCCTCCTCATCTCCGGCCCCTGGCAGGGGGGTAGTTTCCTCACTGCGTGCCTGGTCGTCCAACATGAGCGTAGCAGTCAGGTGATATGAACTGGCGGCCACCCAGGGGAAGCATGCGCTGCTCGTTCCCTTGCGGTGTGTGTTTTTCACACTTTGTTAGTGAGGTGTGAACATTCTAACTAAACGTTCTAATTGGAGTATCGGGGTGGTCCGGCACGGTTCGGGAGACGAATACTCCCCCTTGTGGGCGTTCAGTAATACAAACCTGCGGCCACCGAGGGGAAGCACGCGCCACTTCTTCCCTTGCGGCCTACGGTTTTCACACCTCGTTAGTGAGGTGTGTCAGAGTATTTATATCGGCAGACATTTTGTGCTATGATAGAAACTAAAAGTGTATATTCTGAGTCACTCTGAACAGACCAGACTCCATTTTGTTATTTCAAGTTAACAAAAAGACACTATATTTCTATCTGTAAGCTAACCACTTTCCCAGATCTGAGGAATGCATAGTATATACAAACAAGTGATAAGGAAGGGGGTTGGATAGACTGTCTAAAATGCTAATGGAATATAATCAAATCTAAACCCAGACAATTGTGACAGAGAAGATTAAATAATTTAATATTTAACTGTCTATATATATAAGGTACCATTGTATGGAAAAGGGTAAACTTAGTTCATGATCTGTCATATCAGAAATTATGGCAGGAATTGCAGACGCTAAGTCTGGACAAAATTTAAGAAACCCTTTGAAATTTTAAATTATGGCGCTATAAAGATAACGCAAAATGACGTCAAAATAGCCACCAGGAAAAGTTAACTCTTTCCTGGATAGGTATGTTTAGTGGGACAAGACTGCCCTCTACAGACCAAATAACTAATTTGCGATCTGGAAGATAACCACACCTCTAGTGCTTCTATTGGGTTATCAACTGATGACGTACAGAGAGTCTGGTCCTTTAAAAGTTAAGACAAAGGGAAGATAGAGAGATACAAGAAATACGAAGGAGGCAGATGCGAGAGATGCAAAGAAAAAGAGGAGAGAGGAATTGGAAGTTTGGGGACTCCAACCTCCATGCAGAGAGACTACCAATCGGATGAAATATCTACTCAACTGGTAATTATACTGGTTTCATTTAATTAAATTAAATTAATTAAATTATATTAATAGCATTATATATGACTGGATAAAGCACGGTCAGATTTCCATATTAAGAAATCTTAGTTAACTAAGAATATATAGTTATAAACATTCCATTCTGCAGGTGGAATTAAGAATAATTATATATTGATGTGATATTATCACGTGTTAGCATACCGCTGTTTTTATCCAGGTGTATTGATTTGCTCTAAATTAAGATAGATATCTTTTAGACAAATTAAAAATCTGCTTATATAATGTAGTAAATTCTCTTATTGGATGATTTTAAGAAAATGACTAGTGAACTGGTTTAAATGTTATTTTATTTAAAAATTACATAAGAATAGATCTTAACTACCTAGGAGATCTAGCCAGCATTGAAAGGGTTATTCTAACTGTCTGCTAAACTTTACGACCTTACGCTGCACTCTGAGGAATTCTGTTCTCTGTGTGAAAAGTTTCACTTTCAGCCTGTGTTAAAGATACCTCATAAATCGTCAGAATTCTTGACAGATAATGAGTTAATAGCCATTGAAACGTAATCCCCATTTCTTTGTATTGCATATCGTTTTATACTGGATATTCATTGATTATTATCATGCATGTTACATATTATTATTATTAATTTGTTATTATAAATAAAAATCTATTTTTATACATTGTGATATTATTATATGAAATACATTCCACTTAACACGATAAACGTTCTTTGGGATCTGAGAATTGAAATAGTGGGCAATTCTCAACTGTTTACTATTATTATCCCATAAATATCCCCATATTGGAGGCACGCTGCTGAGATCGTTTAAGTTGAAATTGTATTTCATATATAATAATAATATTGGTGTAATTCATGCAATTTAATCTTAATATAGAAAAGAGTTTTGTATTGAGATTAATCAATAAAATAAAAATAAAAATGGCCAGTGGCAGTGATAAATCTGTAACAGATAATACTGAAATAATTGAAGACCTAAGAAAACATGCTCTAGTTCATATTCATAAACATATGAAAAATGATGCAACCTATGAGGTTTGGTTGAAAAGCATAGAATGGGAAGCTAAACAAACCATTCTAACTGATGAACACATCATCATATATCTTAAAGAAATTGCTGAACAAAAGAACATAGAAAGGAAAATGGCGTACATAATACACTCTTGGCCTTTCTTTATGACAGCACTTCTTAAGGTGTGTGATGAAAACAAGTCACTGAATGCCAAATTGGACACGTACAGTGACGATTTGGGCATTCAAAATGGGAAATACCAAGATTTACTTGCTGAGCATAAAACTCGTCAGGCTGATCATGAAAAAGAAATGAAGCTTTGATGGATAAATATGCACAGGAAATAAATCAGCTTAAAATGCAATTGGATGAGTATGAAAAGGAGAGTCAGAAATTAGACAGTGAGGTTGGTAGTCATCATTCTGTGCCAAAAAGTTGCACAAAAATGCAAGAAAAGACTATTTGTAAATCCCCTCCTTATTATGATTTTCCCACACCAAACCAGGTTTTCATAAAACAGTCTGTAAGTAAAGATGTGAGTAATTCTAAAAAATCACCTGTGGAACAAGATTCCCCATCTCATGACATTACCAAGCCACCTTGGCAATCTTGGGCAGAACAGTTTGAAAAAGCTGTCTTGGCCAAACTTGAGATGGAGAGTCCAATTCAAGATGATAGGAATGAAAACAGACATGGTTCTGTACACTGGCAGGATTCTGATGCTGATCAGAATTGTGACAGTGAACAAGAAGCTCAGAGTGATGGGAGTGAAAGTGATTGCACTATCCACTCTGAAGGCCATGTAACTGATATGCCATCTGCACTGTTGTACGGGTCTAATTCCTCTTCAGCAGACAGATCGCATAGACGTTTACCCAAACACAGAAACAGAGATCGTAAATCAACGACGCCTGTTTATGAAACACCAAAGGTCATCAAATTCCTTAGAGAGACTGTCCCACAATTTTCTAGAGGTTCAGGAAACATATCTGAACATCTGGAAAATTATGATAGAGCAATGAATTCATTGGGCATGTATGATGACATTCATAAGAAATGGTTCATTACATGGACCTTTGATTCAATGTGTCGTGTTTATCTAGAAAGTCTTCAAGCTATACAGTTAATGTCCTGGTCCAAGATGAAATATGAAATAATCATGGAATATGGTAAGTATAAAACCATTGCCTCTGCAAAGAAGGCGCTTTATAACTTAAAGTGCCGTCCAGATCAAAGCCCCAGAGAATTTTTAATAATTCTTAAAAATGCATACTCCGTGGCCCAAAGAAAACCCAGGTATGAAAGCACAGACTTCAAAGATCTGTATTTTCATGCCATGCCAGTAAACATACAAATGAATCTCGCAAGAGATTACGATTGTAAGTTACCATTAGAATGGCTAGTCAGTCAGTGCATGAAATTGTATACTATACACCATGCACATGATGAAAATCAGCCAAAGGTTAAGAAACCTGGTGATAAAATGGTGTCAGAGACTAAAATTCAGTTAGGTTTAGAAACCCAACAGAAAAAGAGGACCTATTCCGAGGTTTTGAAAACTCCAAAACCTCAGAAACAGGAAAACGCAGGAAGCAATTCTGCAAATTCCTCTAATAACTCTGAAAAATCCAATGCCAATGGGAATAAACGCCCCTGGGTTAATAAGAACCAAGGCAATTCCCAATGGAGAAGGAATCCTCAGGGAAATAGGAGATATGGAAACAGAAACAACCAATCTGCTTCCAATAACTCCCAACAGTCTCAGCCATCCCAGCCAAGTTCTAATGGGCAAAGACAAAACGGCAATGGGGGAAATAATTTGCGTCGTCAGGTTGGTCAATTGACAGACCAGATGGGCAAATTAATGGAGGGAATGACAAAGATTAACGAAGTCTTTGCCAGAAATCCTTTTTTAGGGATAGCTCCAATTGCAGAACTACCTGTGCAACCGCAGCAACAACAACAGGTGCCGCAGCAATAATAGCCACTGTGACTAAACAGGCTAGGTTATCAGTAGATGTAATACCTAACCCTGTTTCCTTTCCAGGTACTAACAGTCAAACAAACAATGGTTGTGTTAGGAAACCTATTGCCTATACCGTCACTTCACTTCCGGGTGAAGGAGGCGAAACGTGTTCCTCTGTGTTTTCATTTCAGCCAAAGGCTAAAATAGCCCCAGCAGCCACAAGTTTCCAGGATCCAGACCTGAAAGGGTTAACTGATGAGATGCCGACCACTAGTTCCCGCTTGACAGTTCAAGATATTCCTAAAAAGGATGGGCCTGTGGGTAAGACTGAGCATTCCTCAGTACAGGTAGAAACTACTGCTGTGACCGGTAATGTATGGAAAACAAGTAATATGTTGACACATTCTAAATTCTTATGTGAATTAGAAGAACATGAAGGAAGGTACTACATGTCTGTAGAAATACAGGATTCGCTACCCCAGCCTTTTAAAGGGTTAATAGATACTGGTTCACAAGCCACTATCTTATCCAATACCTACTTCCAGCAGGTAATGGACTTAGCAACGGATAAGCCGAAGCTAAGAGGTTTCCCCAATGCTCTGTTGAGTGTAGGAGGAAATGCCCTTCATGTTATTGGCAATACCTGGTTAAAGTTTAAAATAGGTAACAAAACCTTTAGACACCCGGTGATAGTGGTAGATCTCCCCTATGACCGACTGATTCTGGGTATAGACATACTCAGAAGACTTAACACAATTATTGACTGTGTGAATGGAATTGTATGGTCACAAGCTAAGGTTCCCATAACCTATGAGAAATCACATGTTCAATCTGATCGTAACTGCCATGTGATAGAAGAAAGACCTGACTCAATTGAGGTACATTTTAGAAATAGTCAGTCACCTGACGTGACTATCCTGCAGGTGAATGATGCAATCGCACCTGTAGATGAGCATTCCGTAAGAATTGCTCCAGAGAGGATCCAGAATGTCTCTCTGGAAGGTGATGTTTTAACTATTTCTCTCCACAGGGACTATGTTGAATCTGTAGATCTGGCAGGTCATGCTCAATTCCTTGCCAGAATTGAAAGGGTTAATAACAACTTATTCTTTCCTATGCAAATACATGACTTAGGAAGAAGTAGGAATGCAAAGCTGGACTTAAAGAGTGAGAACAGCTATATTAGCAGAAGTCTGTTAAAGCAGATAGCTAATCCTAAAATGATCAGGTACGCTTCCCCACATGACAGGTGGATCCAGAACCTGGATGGCGAATCAGAGAGTCACAATGTGATAGCAAAATGTTTACTATCTATTTCCATCGGAAATAAGACCGTTAAACATTTATTCCTAGTGATAAACGAACCTCGCTATCAGGTTTACGTGGCAATGATGTCATACATCGTTTTGCCATACACCTTGACCTGATTAATTCCAATTTGTGGACAAGGTTAAAAGGTAATCCTTGTGGATACCTTCACGAGGAAAACGCCTTGAAATCAGGACAAATACTCCCATATGCGGTAAGTATCCAAGTTCCTGATGACATAACCATTCCACAGGGGACAAGTAATTTTCTTTTACCCCTACAGGTCAAGGAGGGTCAGAGATTGGAAAACTCTGATGCCCTAATCTGTTTATCCAACAGGATACAACAATTAGGGATGGTGGTAACACATACACCAATGGTAAGTATTGGTAAGAATCCCACCTATATCATGGTCAACAATGTTACACCCAATAGTGTTACTTTACCAAAAGGAACATTACTAAGTCTAGCATTGGATGCTGAGTACTATACATTCGGTTTCCAAAACCAAATTATAGGCCTCATCCCTGAAGAATACTTAACTGAGGACGAAATTGTCGATCAAATATTCCATTCCTCCCCAGAAGGATTATTCACTATCCTATCTGTATATCCCTTCAACGATGAAGAAGGCTCGTGTAAAATCGAAGAAGCATCTATCACCTTCGATCATCCGCTCAATGAGCAGGAATCACAAGAGTATCACGACCAAAGAGAAAAGGTAAGTCAACACCGAACTGACCTAACTTCTAGGCTTGAAGAAGCTTATGAGATAGGCCAGCCTGAAATCTTTCCAGGATTTCAGGAAAGGCTAGAAGAGCAAATATCTTTAGCTGACGGTTGCTCCAACGATGCTGAGCGGCAACAGCTAAAGGAAATCCTTTTGGAATTCCAAGATATTTTTGCCAAAGATTCCTACGACTGTGGGTTAACTAACCTCCACGTAGCCAGAATACAAACTGATCCAAACTTACCACCTGTATTTATCAAACAATATAGACTCCCATTAGCGTCATATGATGGTCTACAAGACATCATTCAGAATTTAAAGGAAAGGGGCATTATACGTCCAGTGCACAGTTCGTATAATAATCCGATCTTGGGGATTCTGAAACCTAATGGACAATGGCGTTTATGCGCTGACTTACGACAGCTAAATAAACGCGTCTATATGTCTGGTTGGCCAACACCATACATAGACCAATGTTTGGTACAAATGCAGGGATCCAAAATATTCACTGCCATTGACTGTGCGCAGGGATATTGGACTGTACCAGTCCATAATGAAGACCAATACAAATTGGCCTTCACATTTGGAAAGCAGCAGTATACCTGGACCCGTATGCCTTTCGGTTATATAAACTCTGGTCATGAATTCGCTGTGTTCATGCATAAAGCTATGCCTGACGCACTCGAGAGAGGAACGTTATCATATGTCGACGATGTCTTGCTGAAAAGCACCTCCTTTGATAACCATATCTTAGAGATTAGACATGTTCTCACTCAGTTAAGGGAGGCAGGGATTAAACTGTCTTTACAAAAGGCGCAATGGTGTCGCACCCATGTCAATTTCCTCGGACATGAGGTAACTTCTGAAGGATTAAATCCCCAGAGGAAGAAGGTTGAAGCCGTACTAAAGGCTAAAACACCTTCAAACATCAGGGAATTAAGATCGTTCCTTGGTATGACTAACTACTCCCGTAAGTTTATAGATAACTATGCAGAAATAACAAAGCCACTCTTACACCTGCTTAAAAAGGAAACTACCTGGAACTGGGGGGAGCCTCAGGACCAAGCGGTAAGTGAACTGAGGAGGAAGCTCACTCAGGCACCCTGTTTAGCATACCCAGAGGGGGGTAAACCTTTCTATCTGGAGACAGGATATACCGATTTAAGCATAAGTGCTGTTCTGTATCAGAAACAGGACAGTTTAAACAAAGTTATTGCATATGCTAGCAAGACTTTATCACCTGTTGAAGTTAAATTCAACACGTGTGAGAAGGCGTTATTGTCGACTGTCTGGGCACTACAAAATTTTCGTAGCTATATCCAAGGTGAGAAAATAATTGTAGAAACAGCTCACCAACCTCTACAGTATCTGCAGAGTGAAAGAATTAGAGACGGTAATCTCTCTAACAGTCGGATTACTGCATGGACTCTATCCTTACAGGGATGGCCGTTAGAAGTCCGTTATAAACATAATAAGAGAAGCCCAGTTGCCCAAGGTTTAGCAGAATTACATGACTGTACTGCTCCATCTCTGGATGATAATGACACCGGAGATGACTTCCTAGAAGAGCAATTGCTATCTCCTTATAAAGTTTATGACGAGGAATACTGTCGACCACTACCGTGGGTATACATTGATGGTTGTTCATATCACCACGTCGTTGGTGCTGAACGGAAGTTAGTTGCAGGTATCGGAATCGCCTGGACAGGTGATTATCCTAATGTATCTATAGGATACAATATTGGTCCCAAAAGCAGTCAGATAGCCGAACTCTGTGCAGTATATAAGACCATTCAAATGGCAATAGAATATGGTATCAAAGAATTTGTTATTATAACTGATTCTAACTATGTTCGCAACAGTTTCGTCGAATATCTGCCTAGCTGGAAACGTAACCAAATGCTGAAAAGCAATAACAAACCTGTTAAACATGGGAAATTGTTTTGTAAAATCGATGAGTTGGTTAAGGAAAATGGTTTAACCATATATTGGAAGAAAACCAAAGGCCATTCTAAAATAGAAGGTATTGACAAGGATGGTAATGACTTAGCCGATTCACTGGCAAAACAAGCTGCCATCAATGGTGAAACCCTAAACATTGATGATCTTATGGGTTCAATTCATGTTGAAGCCATAACTAGACGACAGGCTAGAGATAATGCCGACTTAAACGTCGTGCAATGGAGTCAAGAAGCTCCTAATCAGGACCTGATTACCAGTCAAAAGAATGATCCCGTCATAGGCATATTCTATAAACATATAGAAGACCCTACTGCCAATCCCATCACAGATGAGGATTGCAAAAATAATGAAGATTTACGAATCTTGATGAGATATAAAGTCCAATTTAGTATCATGGATGGGTTACTGGTCAGAACTTCTAAACATGGTATACAACAATGGGTAGTCCCAACTATATACAGAGGGTTAATGCTCCAACACGCACATGATGCACCTACATCTGGGCATCGTGGTGATAAGATCACATATGAGATATTGCGTGATTATGCATATTGGCCACACATGTTAAGGGATGTTAAGACATACTGTCAGGGATGCTTGATTTGTCCGCAATATCAACCCCATGGTCCAACCCATCGTGCACCACTTCAGAAGAGGGGGGTGTCATTACCCTGGTCTGATATTCAAATTGACTTTATAGGTCCTGTAACAAGATCTTCAAGAGGTAACAAATACATGTTAACCATTACATGTATGTACACAAAGTGGATAGAATGTTTGCCTTGTAAAGAGAACACGAGTACCGTGTGCGCCACTTTGTTGATTAACCATGTCTTTTCCAGGTTCGGTCTGCCTCAAAGAATTGAGTCAGACAGAGGTAGTCATTTTACCAGCGAAGTAATGGCTAAGATGTGGAACATTCTAGGTGTTAAACGAAAGCTACATATTGCATACCGCGCTGCGTCTAGCGGGGGGGTAGAGCGATATAACCAGTCTATCGTTAATATTCTGAAGAAGTATGTTAAGGAGTCTGGTAAAGACTGGGACATTAAATTGCCCCTAGTTTTAATGGCGATTAGAGCTACACCTAGCACTGCTACCAAATTGTCACCTTTTGAATTGATGACAGGAAGAAAGATGGTTTTACCACAGCATTTACTATATCGTACTTCGGATCATAACTTGATCAATGCTGCCACTACGCATCAGTATATCGAAGATTTGCGCAAGCATTTACAGCATGCGTTTGCTTTTGCCCAAAAGAATCTAGAAAAAGCAGCGACAGGGGTTAAGACCTATTACGATCTAAAAACCACAAAAAAGGAATATGAGATAACAGATCAAGTCTATCTGTATAACTTTGCGCGAAATCAAGTAAAGGAAAAGAAATTTTTACCTTCTTGGAAAGGGCCATATGTCATTATTGACAAAATTTCCCCAGTAGCGTACAAGATAAAAATTCCTAAGGATGGTGATTTTATTGAAAAGTGGGTTCACATTAACCAGTTGCGTGCTTGTCATCCTAAATCTCAATTAAGGATTATAGGTGCGGATTCGGACGCAGAAGGGTGAACGACTAACCTGGATGAATGCTTGATTCACATGGTATAGTATGATGTGAAATGTTGTGATGTGCCATGATCTCATGTACGTTCATGTCATTAACCATTTCCTTGCCATCCAATAACTACATTTTATAAGCAGGTTACTAGCTTGTTTAAATGCTATAGGCAAATTGCTGAAGAGTCAGTAATAAATGTAGTGAGGGATGAAGTTATAAAAATAGAATTAGACAGAATACATATGTTGATGAATCGTAATAATGTGTTGACCTAGGCCAAGTGATGTCACACTGTTATAAGTTTGTATGCTTAACAAACCTTGAATCATTAGTAGATAAGTCTGAAACGAGTTCCTGATCCGTGACTGTCGAAGGATGTCCAAGAAGGATGTGGCGTGTTTCTGGATCGTACTGCTCCTGTGCCAAGAGCTACAGACCGACCCGATCGCAGAGATGGGACCATCCTCCAGCATCCTGATTCAAGAGTCACCAGGGTTCATCTTAACAGAGAAGAGGATCCTGACCAGACGTGTGTTCGTCAGCTTGGACCCCAAGATTTCCATCGAGAAGGCATACAACATTTCATCGATGCAGCTTCCTGAGTTACAGACTTGGTACCAGATGCACCTCCAAAGAGCACAGGACCGTGTGCGAAACATCTTGGAGCAAGCCCGGAAACCATTTGTATCCAGTTCTATTCCGATGAGCAACCGACCCAAAAGGTTCCTCACCGCTATAATTGTTGCATTAGTTTGTGCCACTGTCGGTGCAGTTGTCGCAACTGGAATGTCTGCAGCCAACTCTATTACTGTCCAAAAGCTGGATATGGAAATCTATGCGCTAAAGCAACACATTAACGATATTCATCAGGTGATACAACAGCAAAGAACACTTCTCCAAGACGTGTTAACTATTGTGGAGGACACAGTTGTTACAACAAATTTGCATTCAGAGTTAATTGCCAAATCCACTGAGTTGCACCAAAGTCATGACTTATTTAAGCGTGAACTTCTATTTCTGCATGACCCAATATTGTTCCACACACTTGCTTTTCTTGACGAAGTGCAAACTGGAATGATTGAATTGGCAGGGGGACACATACCTCTGTATTTTGTATCCAAGGATATTGTTCATGCGATGCTTGCCAATGTGGATGGAGAGACAATTGAGCCTATGCAATTAAATCTGGCCTTTGAGATGGGGAGCGCTATACCTCTCTTAATTGATCCGGAACGTATGGAGATTTGCTTTTTATTGGCCATACCATATGTAACTCCCAAAGACATTTTTCAAATGAAAATAATGTACTATGTTAATAATGATATTATGGTTGATTGTACTAAGCGTAAAGTTCAAAACTTTTACAGGTACAAATATATACAAAAATGTTCATTCCACGCACGGGCCTATGTTAGAAATGATGTGATTGCACAATATGTCTGATAACTTCTATAGTGCTTATTCATAAGCTAAATTAATTTTGGCTATGAAATGCACTAAAGGGGGGTTATGTCAGAGTATTTATATCGGCAGACATTTTGTGCTATGATAGAAACTAAAAGTGTATATTCTGAGTCACTCTGAACAGACCAGACTCCATTTTGTTATTTCAAGTTAACAAAAAGACACTATATTTCTATCTGTAAGCTAACCACTTTCCCAGATCTGAGGAATGCATAGTATATACAAACAAGTGATAAGGAAGGGGGTTGGATAGACTGTCTAAAATGCTAATGGAATATAATCAAATCTAAACCCAGACAATTGTGACAGAGAAGATTAAATAATTTAATATTTAACTGTCTATATATATAAGGTACCATTGTATGGAAAAGGGTAAACTTAGTTCATGATCTGTCATATCAGAAATTATGGCAGGAATTGCAGACGCTAAGTCTGGACAAAATTTAAGAAACCCTTTGAAATTTTAAATTATGGCGCTATAAAGATAACGCAAAATGACGTCAAAATAGCCACCAGGAAAAGTTAACTCTTTCCTGGATAGGTATGTTTAGTGGGACAAGACTGCCCTCTACAGACCAAATAACTAATTTGCGATCTGGAAGATAACCACACCTCTAGTGCTTCTATTGGGTTATCAACTGATGACGTACAGAGAGTCTGGTCCTTTAAAAGTTAAGACAAAGGGAAGATAGAGAGATACAAGAAATACGAAGGAGGCAGATGCGAGAGATGCAAAGAAAAAGAGGAGAGAGGAATTGGAAGTTTGGGGACTCCAACCTCCATGCAGAGAGACTACCAATCGGATGAAATATCTACTCAACTGGTAATTATACTGGTTTCATTTAATTAAATTAAATTAATTAAATTATATTAATAGCATTATATATGACTGGATAAAGCACGGTCAGATTTCCATATTAAGAAATCTTAGTTAACTAAGAATATATAGTTATAAACATTCCATTCTGCAGGTGGAATTAAGAATAATTATATATTGATGTGATATTATCACGTGTTAGCATACCGCTGTTTTTATCCAGGTGTATTGATTTGCTCTAAATTAAGATAGATATCTTTTAGACAAATTAAAAATCTGCTTATATAATGTGGTAAATTCTCTTATGGATGGTTTAAGAAAATGAATTTAAACTGGTTTAAATGTTATTTTATTTAAAAATTACATAAGAATAGATCTTAACTACCTAGGAGATCTAGCCAGCATTGAAAGGGTTATTCTAACTGTCTGCTAAACTTTACGACCTTACGCTGCACTCTGAGGAATTCTGTTCTCTGTGTGAAAAGTTTCACTTTCAGCCTGTGTTAAAGATACCTCATAAATCGTCAGAATTCTTGACAGATAATGAGTTAATAGCCATTGAAACGTAATCCCCATTTCTTTTTATTGCATATCGTTTTATACTGGATATTCATTGATTATTATCATGCATGTTACATATTATTATTATTAATTTGTTATTATAAATAAAAATCTATTTTTATACATTGTGATATTATTATATGAAATACATTCCACTTAACACGATAAACGTTCTTTGGGATCTGAGAATTGAAATAGTGGGCAATTCTCAACTGTTTACTATTATTATCCCATAAATATCCCCACAGGTGTGAACATTCTAAGTAAACATTCTAAATGAAGTACTGGGGTGGAGTGCCCCCGAGCGGTCAAAAGGTATATTGCAGGATTTTATCGGCAAAATTACAGAAAGAGGAATATGAAAGAGGGGAAACACACATTCTAGGAGGGCACATCCACACATATAAACAAGGCAATTCACAGTTGAGGTGGCGGTCCTGCCACATAGCCCTTCTCTAAATTCTCTCTAAAGTATCAATATCCTTCTGGAGATACAGTCTCCAGTACTGCAGTACAATACTCCAAGTAAGGTCTCAACAGTGTTCTGTACAATGGCATGAGCATTTCCCTCTTTCTCCTGTTAATACCTTTCCCTATACAACCAAGCATTCTGCTAGCATTTCCTGCTGCTCTATTACATTGTCTGCCTACCTTTAACCCCTTAAGGACCAAACTTCTGGAATAAAAGGGAATCATGACATGTCACACATGTCATGTGTCCTTAAGGGGTTAAGTCATCTGAAATAAATACCCCTAAATCCCTTTCGTCAGATGTTGAGGTTAGGACTCTATCAAATATTCTATACTCTACCCTTGGGTAGCTCCTGTTGAGGCGGCCGTTAGATCCCACTGTGAGGACCTATAGCTCCCGCTGTGACGGGCGATAGCTTCCGTTGTGATAGCTGCCGTTGAGGTGACCAATAGCTCCCGCTGTGATGGCCGATTGCTCATGTTGAGACGGGCGATAGCTCCATTTGAGACAGCCGATAGCTCCTGCTGTGACGGCCGATAGCTCCAGTTGAGACAGCCGATAGCTCCCGCTGTGAGGGCCGATAGCTCTAGTTGAGATTGCCGATAGCCAGTGGCGTACACACAATCCATGGGGCCCCGGTGCAAAACCGCTCGGTGGGCCCCCCTCCGCCCCTCTCCACTTCCTTCCCCCGATCCGTGGGCCCCCCCGGTACATACATACACACAGACACATACATACACACACACATACATACACACACACATACATACTGTGATGGGATTCCAGCATGGCCAAAATTTAGTAGGCCGAAATCTCCACATGGCATATGCTAATTCATATCTGATTACAAACAGTTGGATGAGTCATCAGTGTACTGAGCATGTGTGGAAGTGCATAGTACATTCCTTTGTCTGTAAATGTCATTTGGTCTGCCCATATAAGGTGATCCTGAATATAGGAGGGGTTATACTGTATGGGAGGCGATATGCTGCTAACAAAAGACCTCTGAACCATGCTTTCTGCCTCTCAGATATTTTTGGAACAGGAGTTCATCTGAGACCCGATCGGTACGTGAATAAAAGACATGTTACTTCCTGAAGATTTGTGACTATATCTCTATGTGTGGCTTCTGTGGTTTGTTCCTGTTATTCCTCCGGTAACAATACAAAGACACAGACACACATACAGACACACACACACACATACATACAGAGACACACACATACACCCTGTTCTAAATTATTATGCAAATTATATTTAAGTGTCACAAAGATTAAATATTTTGTTTTTCAGTTTAACTCATGGATGGCATTGTGTCTCAGGGCTCTTTTGATCACTGAAAACAATCTCGGACACCTGTGATAATTAGATTGCCAGGTGAGCCCAATTTAAGGAAAAACTACTAAAGGAGGGTGTTCCACATTATTAAGCAGAGCACCATTTTCATGCAATATGGGGAAGAAAAAGGATCTCTCTGCTGCCGAAAAGAGTGAAGTGAGCATTTAAATGTTTAAGTATTGCCATTTTATTATGTAGCTTTTGATTATGTACCGGATATAATGTATAATGTATATTGTGTATATCCTTTTAAAATCTAACAGTATCCTTCAATGAATATGTACAATACATTTTATTATACACTTGTGTTTATGTCTTATTTGTCACACATTCCTTAAAACAGTGTTTCCCAACCCAGTCCTCAAGGCACACCTACCAGTCCAGGATTTAGGGATTACCCAGTTGTGTCTAAGGTGTTTTTTTCCTTCTTTGTAAAAACACCTTAGACACAACTGGGTAATCCCTAAATCCTGGACTGGTAGGTGTGCCTTGAGGACTGGGTTGGGAAACACTGCCCTAAAAGAATATCCTTGTAAGAGGGTCATATTTTCTTACAGGTTCGCCGAACGGTTGGCCACGGACTCATCATTCAGTAAACTTTGACCCTGTACCTCACAGTCAGCAGACACATTCCAGCCAATCAGCAGCAGACCCTCCCTCCCAGACCCTCCCACCTCCTGGACAGCTCACTAAGAATGCAGCTTCACAATGGATGCTGTCCAGGAGGTGGGAGGGTCTGCTGCTGATTGGCTGGAATGTGTCTGCTGACTGTGAGGTACAGGGTCAAAGTTTACTCAATGATGAGTCCGCGGCGAACCGTTCGCCGAACCGTTCGGGACATCACTAATGAAGACTAATTTTCAAACAGTCCTGTTCACTGATGAGTGCCGTGCAACCCTGGATGGTCCAGATGGATGGAGTAGTGGATGGTTGGTGGACAGCCACCCTGTTCCAACAAGGCTGCAACGTCAGCAAGGCGGTGCTGGAGTCATGTTTTGGGCCGGAATCATGGGAAGAGAGCTGGTCAGCCCCTTTAGGGTCCCTTAAGGCGTAAAGATGACCTCTGCAAAGTATGTGGTGTTTCTGACTGACCACTTTCTTCCCTGGTACAGAAGGAAGAACTATGCTTTCCGTAAAAAAACTCATCTTCATGCATGATAATGCACCATCTCATGCTGCAAAGAATACCTCTGCATCAATGGCTGCTATGGGGATAAAAGGAGATAAAGTTATGGTGTGGCCCTCATCCTCCCCTGACCTCAGTCCTATTGATAACCTTTGAAGCATCCTCAAGCAAAAGATCTATGAGGGTGGGAGGCAGTTTACATCCAAAAAGCAGCTCTGGGAGGCTATTCTGACATCTTGCAAACAAATTCAAGCAGAAACTGTCTAAAAACTCACAAGTTCAATGGATGCAGGACTTGTGAAGCTGCTATCAAATAAAAGGTCCTATGTTAAAATGTAACGTGACCTGTTAAAATGTTTAAAAAGTTAAAATGTTGTTATAAGTTTGATTGAAATAGCTTTTCATTTCAGTTAATATGCTGCAAACAACAAATGACAATTTTCAGTTCTTTACAACCTATAAAGTGTTTTGAAACTTACTGTGCGGAACAATTTGGAACAGTGCATTGTAAGTTTTTTATGTTTAAAAAGAATACTGTTATCATTAGGAGGTTTGTTCAATAAAATTTGAATTGTACTCTTAATAGTTGATAACATGAGAATTATGCTGTCACGGTAGTTTACCCCTACACGCAAGATTTAGTCCAACAATCAACAGATAGAGCAGATACGACTTACCGGACCTTAGAATGGCCAGACTCGCCGTAAAGCAGAGAATAGACAGAGTCAAGAACAAGCTGAGGTCAAGGGAACAAAGAGACTGCGAGAACAAAAACTAGCCAAGGTCTGGTACACAGTAGTCAGTAAGCCGGCAAACAAGACAAAACAGGGATAGAGAGATAAACTGAGTCAGATACAAAGCCAAGGTCAAGCACGAAAATCACAACTGAACACAACAAGCGCTAAAGGGAACTGAAACAGAAACCACGATAGGGCAGGGAGTTAAGGGAGAGGTGAGTATAAATACCCTAAACTTTGCTTTGATTGGCCCCTGTCATATCCACTCCCCCAAAATGTGAGTGTCTGGGGAATGTGGGATGACGGACCAATGGGAGCACATTTCATTTTTTGGCTCCCACTGCCCCTTTAAGAGCGTGCCGATACGCGCGGCACGCTCTTAGAGATAGGCGGGACACGTGACCGCATCTCGCGGTCCATGCCCGCCTTCATTCGAGAGCCGCGCGCGGCGGGAAGAGAGGACCTCGGCCGGCCCCCGGGTAAGGTAAGTACCGCTACAGTACCCCCCGAAGACACGCCCACTGGGTGGGGAGGACCAGGCCTGGCAGGAAAACGAGAATGGAAGGAACGCACAAGTTGAGGAGCATGAACAGCGTCAGCGCAAAGACAACTGCGTTCCTCAGGCCCATAATCCTTCCAATGCACCAGGTACTGGAGTCGACCCCTGAGAAAACGAGAGTCAAGTACAGCAGCTACTTCGAATTCCTCATGACCCTCCACAGAAACAGGAGGAGGAGGAGGAACATGCTGGGTATAGCGGTTACACAGGAGGGGCTTCAACAAGGAGGCGTGAAAGACGTTAGGAATACGCAGGTTCTTAGGAAGATCCAAGGCATATGAAACAGGATTAACGCTATGCAAAATACGGAAAGGACCTATAAAACGGGGGGCCAACTTCAAAGAAGGCACACGAAGGCGGATATTGCGAGTGGAACGCCAAACCCTGTCCCCCACGACATAGGACGGAGCCGCCCTGCGATGTTTGTCAGCTTGAACCTTTTGGCGAGCAGTGGAGTACACCAAAGAACGCTGAACCTGCTCCCAAGTAGTACATAAACCAGCCAAATGTTCACCCAGAGCTGGCATGCCCTGTAGGAGAATGCAGCTGGAAGAACAACAGGATGCCGGCCATAAACAACCTAAAAAGGGCTTTTACCGGAAGATTCATGAGCAGCGTTATTACAAGCAAATTCAGCCCAAGGAAGCAGGTCAGCCCAATTGTTCTGATGGTGGGATACGAAACAACGAAGATACTGCTCTAGGGACTGGTTTGGCAGGTTCAGCAGCTCCATTAGACTGGGGGTGGTAAGCGGAGGAAAACGAGAGAGAAATACCCATCTCTGAACAAAAAGCTCTCCAGAATCTGGAAATAAATTGGCTACCCCTATCGGATACAATTGATACAGGAATGCCATGCAAACAAAACACCTCCCTGGCGAAGATAGAAGCAAGTTCCTTGGATGAGGGCAATTTGACAAGAGACACAAAATGAGCCATCTTAGAAAATCGATCCACTATCATCAGGATGACTGTTTTGCCATTCGAAGGAGGCAATTCAACAATGAAATCCATGGATAGGTTGGACCAAGGCCTCTCGGGTATGGGCAACGGGTGCAACAACCCACAAGGAACTCTATGAGAAGACTTCATCCAGGCACAAGTAGTACATGCCCGAATGTAATCGGTGATATACTTGCGTAAGGAAGCCCACCAAAAATATCTAGAAACTGCTGTTAAGGTTTTAGTAACACCAGGATGTCCAGCAGTTTTGGCGTCATGATATAATGACATAATGTCCCGTCTTTCGGGAACATCAACAAACAGTTTATCAGTAGGTTTCTCACTGGGTGCCATGTTTTGTGTAGCCTGTATAACTTGTAACGGCACCCCCAGGCATAAAAGGGGTTAAAAGCCGTTTAGTAGATCTTCCCTTCCAGAGACACAGGCACAGCTACTGCAGAACACCAATCCGCCGAACAGGAAACCATATGAATGCCGTAAACAGCCGAATAGGAAAAATCATAGGAATAGGTTTACACTCCTATCAGTCAAAATGGAACAGCATACAATAAATCCCCCCCAAGAACGAGACAAGGCTCCGTTTTGAGGGTCAAGCAGGAACAGACAGAGCTGTGGGTTTATTGTTCTTATGTACACATTCTTACACATTAGTACCACCCACAGGGTTTTGGAAAACAACCAATAAACATGTACAATACACTCAGACACTCCCACACAAAATCCTCCCCTCTGCCTGCGATACAATTCCCTTACACAATGGGTAATGTAATTATCACCGGCAGAGAAATACAATTTTTCCACATTATTCATAACTTGAAAAGTATGCATCACATTCACATTCACTTACATTTTCAGAATCAGCATACTCCAAATACAAACATATGTCAAAATCATCCAAATTGGTCCAGTGGTTCAAAAGATAGATCGTAGTCCTTTGTGACCAAAGGAAGCATGGTTTTTCTGCCCAAAACCAGTTCCACAGAGTCTTCTATCCTGGAGATAATTGGGAAGTAATCCAATTATCTCCAAGGACAGAGGCAAAACTCCATTATGCACATGGCAGTAAAAAGACAGTAAAATACAATAAAATACACAAGGTTACATTTATTACATAAAATACAGACATGCAACATATCCCCAGATAGCTTAGGTCTGAGCACACATTATTACTGAATGGCACTCAGACCACACACATACAGTTCAATTGCCATGGAGCCAAAGTCTTTCCCATAGTCTTTCATTATACGAATGGACTCCATGGCATAGCTATCTGGGGTATCACCGCTCAAACAGGGCAAGCACCGAATGACCCGGCTTTCGTGTCTCTGCAGGGGAAAATCAAGCGTTTCAACATGGGGCCATAGTCTAAAGGCAGCAGGCGGGCAACCAGGCTCCTCCAATGCACAGTGGCGAGATTGGTCTTGTCACATAACTTGTAAGAGTGAAGAAGAAATAGATAGAAACGTAGTAGCTATTATTCTGTCCGTTGGAATGGGGTATTATCAAACTCTTGTTTGTCGGTAGTTTCGAATTGTCTAGACAGAGCGTCAGCTTTAGTGTTACAATCACCTGGTCTGTAGGTGATGATATAATTGAAATTAGATAAGAACAGTGACCACCTGGCCTGCCTAGAAGACAATCTTTTGGCTTCACTAAGGTAGGAAAGGTTTTTGTGATCCGTAAAAATGAGGATGGGGTCTGTAGCGGAGATGCAATATTCCCCAGGTTATCTCCGCTTATAATCCAAGTGAGGCTCAGGAACAAGTAAATAGTAAATCCACAGGCAAGGTTTCCAGCAGGTAAAATAACAGCAATATCCCAACAGCAATCCCAATAACTGGACGACACACAGTTTCAGGAGCAGAACTCAAAGCTTTAATCCACACTGTCCTTTTAAAGCATGCTCCCATGCAAGGGAGGGATTTACAATCATTAGTACAGTAGCCAATCCTGTCCTGGTAACAGAACGGACCGGGCTTGTGGAGGTTTCAGCAGTGTTCGCCTACTCGAGTGTCCGATTTGAGTTCCAGACACTCGACGGCAAAACACCGCTGTTTGGGAGTTTTAAAATGGCCACGTGTTCGTTTGTCGAATGGCGGCCACCCCCGAGAACAAAGGACGGCTACTTAACTTGTCAATTAGCCGTTCGCAACAATGTTGCAACAGGTAATTGAGGACACACTTCACACAGGGGAGGTCTGATTGTTCGGTAGTTTCATTCCCTTAGTTTATTCGAATGATTCTACCGAACAATCAGAGGAATACAATTCTTTTCAAAACATATAACAACAGCAGATACACGAATGCAGTTATTCACAATACATTTGCAGGACAGCCCAGTGCCATCTGCTACAGGGTCCTTAGTACCTTCTAAAAGATGTCTCCACTCCTTGAGTGCTAAAACAATAGCAAAGAGTTCTCGATTGCCTATGTCATAGTTTTTTCGGCTTTGGACATCTGCTTGGAAAAGAAGCCACAAGGATGTAATGGCTTATCAGGTGATTCTCTTTGAGATAAGACAGCACCTACCCCAATATCCGAAGCATCAACTTCAAGAATATAAGGCAAAGAAGGGACAGGATGCTGTAATATAGGAGCAGAGGCAAACATTTTAAGAAATTCAAAGGCCTCAAGCGCCTCTGGGGACCAGACACGAGTATTGACATCCTTTTTAGTCATGTGTGTTATAGGTGCTACAATAGAAGAAAACCCTTTAATAAAGCGTCTATAATAGTTAGAAAACCCAAGAAAACGCTGAATGGCTTTCAGACCCTGAGGTAAAGGCCATTCCATGACAGCAGAAAGCTTCTGGGGATCTATACGAAAACCTTTAGCAGAAATTACATAACCTAAAAACTGTACTTCGGATTGGTCAAATAAACATTTTTCTAGTTTACAATAAAGACCATTAACAAGAAGGGTTTTCAATCACAAATGAGTGAACGAACTCTCGTAAGACGTCATTAATAAATTCTTGAAATACTGCTGGGGCGTTACAAAGACCGAATGGCATCACAGTATACTCGTAATGACCACTCCTAGTATTGAATGCAGTTTTCCACTCATGCCCCTTTTTTATACGTATGAGATTGTATGCACCTCTAAGGTCCAATTTAGTAAACACACTAGCTTGTTTAAGCCTGTCGAATAATTCCGTGATTAATGGTATAGGGTAAGCATTTTTTATAGTGATTTTAGTTAGGCCCCTATAATCAATACAAGGTCTTAAATCGCCCTCCTTCTTCGACACAAAGAAGAACCCTGCCCCTCCCGGAGAAGAGGATCTCCTTATAAATCCCTTTTGTAGGGATTCTTTAATATATTCCTCCATGACACGATTTTCTTGAGGCGACAAAGGATACACCCTGCCTTTGGGAGGTATAGTGCCAGGCAATATATCAATAGCACAATCGTAGGGTCTATGAGGCGGTAATTTCTCAGCCTCCCTCTTATCGAAGACAGACTTAAGACACATGTACTGAGGAGGTATAACAGTAGACAAAGGAGGAGTAGTAGGAACATTAATAGAATTCAAAGGGGGATTTTAATTATACAAGACTCTTGGCAGGTTTCACTCCAAGATACCATTTGTCCTGACTCCCAGTCAAAATTGGGATTGTGAGAACGTAACCATGGGTACCCTAACACAATGTGAGAGGAAGGAGAGGTGATGACCTGAAACCGAATGGTTTCTGAGTGTAACATCCCTGTATACATATGCAACGGTTCAGTTTCATGTGTGATAACTGGGGAGCATAATGGTCTACCATCTATGGCCTCAACGGCCATGGGTGTCTTCTTCTCTCTAATGGGTACTTTGTTTTTCCTAACAAATCTAGAGTCTATGAAATTCTCAGCTGCCCCAGAATCAACCAGGGCTAGTATGTTTCTTGCTATGCAATTATTCTCCAGATGCAGAGAAACAGGTAGAAGTAGTTGATTAAGAGGCAATTTTGGGGACTTAGATATCACACCCAAGGCCAGTCCCCTATATGGCCTTAGGTGCGATAGTTTTCCGGAATCACAGGACATTCTTTTAGCATATCACCCTTCTTACCACAGTATAGGCAAAGTCCCTCCTTTCTCCTATACAATTTTTCAGCATCAGAGAGTTTGGCAACCCCTAATTGCATGGGTTCCTCCTCTGATACCTTGAAACTCTCAGAATTAGCAACTCTGGGAGTAGTTAATGTAACAAAACGTCTATTCCTATTCTTAGTATAGAGTCTGTCACGAATCCTATTGTCTATATCAATGAGATAGTCGATAAGGTCCTCTAATGGGACAGGAAGATCCCTAGCTGCTACCTCATCCAATATAGTATCAGATAGTCCTTCCATGAATGCTGTAGTTAGCCCATTGTTGGTCCAATCTACCTGCGAAGCTAGGGTACGAAACTGAATAGCATAACCAGCAACAGACCTAGAACCCTGCTTAATTCTCATTAATGCCCTGGTGGCATTCTTTGACCTTTTAGTTGTGTCAAAGGTTCTACGAAAAGCCGTAAGGAAGCTATCGAAATTATGCACCATAGGTCCATTAGCCTCCCAAATAGGATTTGCCCACTCAAGTGCTTTATCAGTAAGTTGGTGCATAAAGAATCCAACTTTAGACCTGTCAGTGGGAAAGGAACGTGGATACATCTCAAAGTGGAATTCCACTTGATTAATAAATCCCCTGCAAGACTTAGCATCCCCTCCATACCTGGGTGGAGGGGTTAAATGTGCAGAAGCATTAGGCATGGTGGATACATCTGGAACAAGGGGTGCAGGAGGAGTTGGTACTGTTACCGGACTAGTTCTAGATAAGAGCGTCTGGAGGGCCTGAGCTATCTGATCCATACGGTGATCCTGCTCTGTAAATCTAGCCAATTGCTGACTTACATCTGCGAGGTCCATGGCCCTATTGTAATGTCACGGTAGTTTACCCCTACACACAAGATTTAGTCCAACAATCGACAGATAGAGCAGATACGACTTACCGGACCTTAGAATGGCCGGACTCGCCGTAAAGCAGAGAATAGACAGAGTCAAGAACAAGCCGAGGTCAAGGGAACAAAGACACTGCGAGAACAAAAACTAGCCAAGGTCTGGTACACAGTAGTCAGTAAGCCGGCAAACAAGACAAAACAGGGATAGAGAGATAAACTGAGTCAGATACAAAGCCAAGGTCAAGCACGAAAATCACAACTGAACACAACAAGCGCTAAAGGGAACTGAAACAGAAACCACGATAGGGCAGGGAGTTAAGAGAGAGAGGTAAGTATAAATACCCTAAACTTTACAGCAGCTACTTCGAATTCCTCATGACCCTCCACAGAAACAGGAGGAGGAACATGCTGGGTATAGTGGTTACACAGGAGGGGCTTCAACAAGGAGGTGTGAAAGACGTTAGGAATACGCGGGTTCTTAGGAAGATCCAAGGCAAGAGAGGACCTCAGCCGGCCCCCGGGTAAGGTAAGTACCGCTACATATGCTGACTGTTATTTACATCAATTATTTAGGTAAATGAGAAAAATATAATTTGCATAATAATTTGGAACATGGTGTACAGAGACACACGCACACACACACATACAGAGACACACACATACAGAGACACAGACACACATACAAACACACACACACACACACATACAGAGACACACACATACAAAAATGTTTCCTGTTTCCTACCTTTTGTGACTTTCCCTTGGGTCCAGTGGGGGCTCAGCCTGATGGGAGTCAGAGTTCCGACTCTGACTCCCTCCTCCTTCCTCCCACGCAGGCTCTCTGTATGCTGGGAGGAGTGACGTGCAGTCACTTCCTCCCAGCTCTGTGTGATGTAATCACAGGGGGCCTGGTTGCGCTGTTAAAGCGCCCAGTGCAGACCAGGCCCCCTGACAATCCATCTCCATCGGGTGGCTCTGACAGCATGGGCCACCCGATGGACCCCTTAAAATTCGGCCCTGGGGCTGCAAAACGTGGCAGCTGGTACCCGGATGCGGGGGGTCCGAAGAGCGGCCGGGCTCCCTGGAGTGACTGGCTGTGTTACTTACCTTCCAGGGCCTGGTTGTGTTACTAACCTTCCAGGACCCGGCTGTGTTACATACCTTCCAGGGCCTGGCTGTGTTACTAACCTTCCAGGACCCGGCTGTGTTAGTTACCTTCCAGGACCCGGCTGTGTTAGTTACCTTCCAGGACCTTGCTGTGTTACTTACCTTCCAGGACCTGGCCGTGTTACTTACCTTCCAGGACCTTGCTGTGTTACATTCCAGGACCCGGCTGTGTTACATACCTTCCAGGACCTGGCTGTCTTACTTACCTTCCAGGACCCGGCTGTGTTACTTACCTTCCAGGACCCGGCTGTGTTACTGACCTTCCAGGACCCAGCTGTGTTAGTTACCTTCCAGGACCTGGCTGTGTTACTTACCTTCCAGGACCCGACTGTGTTACTTACCTTCCAGGACCCGGCTGTGTTACTGACCTTCCAGGACCCGGCTGTGTTACTGACCTTCCAGGATCTGGCTGTGTTACTGACCTTCCAGGACCTGGCTGTGTTACCTACCTTCCAGGACCTGGCTGTGTTACTGACCTTCCAGGACCCGGCTGTGTTACTGACCTTCCAGGACCTGCCGCTGTGTTACTTACCTTCCAGGACCTGGCTGTGTTAGTTACCTTCCAGGACCCGACTGTGTTACTTACCTTCCAGGACCCGGCTGTGTTAGTTACCTTCCAGGGCCTGGTTGTGTTACTAACCTTCCAGGACCCGGCTGTGTTACTTACCTTCCAGGGCCTGGCTGTGTTACTAACCTTCCAGGACCCGGCTGTGTTAGTTACCTTCCAGGACCTGGCCGTGTTACTTACCTTCCAGGACCCGGCTGTGTTACTTACCCTCCAGGGCCTGGCTGTGTTACTTACCTTCCAGGACCTGCCGCTGTGTTAGTTACCTTCCAGGATCTGGCTGTGTTACTTACCTTCCATGACCCGGCTGTGTTACTTACCTTCCAGGACCTGGCTGTGTTACTTACCTTCCAGGACCCGGCTGTGTTACTTACCTTCCAGGACCCGGCTGTGTTACTTACCTTCCAGGACCCGGCTGTGTTACTTACCTTCCAGGACCTGGCTATGTTACTTACCTTCCAGGACCCGGCTGTGTTACTTACCTTCCAGGACCCGGCTGTGTTACTTACCTTCCAGGACCCGGCTGTGTTACTTACCTTCCAGGACCTGGCTGTGTTACTTACCTTCCAGGACCCGGCTGTGTTACTTACCTTCCAGGACCCGGCTGTGTTACTTACCTTCCAGGACCTGGCTGTGTTACTTACCTTCCAGGACCCGGCTGTGTTACTTACCTTCCAGGACCTGGCTGTTTTATTTACCTTCCAGGGCCTGCTGTGTTACTTACCTTCCAGGCCCGGCTGTGTTACTTACCTTCCAGGACCTGGCTGTGTTACTTACCTTCCAGGACCCGGCTGTGTTACTAACCTTCCAGGACCTGGCTGGCAGTACTTACCTTCCAGGACCTGGCTGTGTTACTTACCTTCCAGGACCCGGCTGTGTTACTGACCTTCCAGGACCCGGCTGTGTTACTTACCTTCCAGGGCCTGGCTGTGTTATTGACCTTCCAGGACCCGGCTGTGTTATTGACCTTCCAGGACCCGGCTGTGTTACTTACCTTCCAGGGCCTGGCTGTGTTACTTACCTTCCAGGGCCTGGCTGTGTTACTTACCTTCCAGGACCTGGCTCTGTTACTTACCTTCCAGGACCCGGCTGTGTTACTTACCTTCCAGGACCTGGCTGTGTTACTGTGTTACTTACCTTCCAGGACCTGGCTGTGTTACTTACCAGGGCCTGGCTGTGTTACTTGCCTTCCAGGGCCTGGCTGTTAACTTCCAGGACCTGGCTGTGTTACTGACCTTCCAGGACCTGGCTGTGTTACTGTGTTAGTTAACTTCCAGGACCTGGCTGTGTTACTTACCTTCCAGGGCCTGGCTGTGTTACTGACCTTCCAGGACCTGGCTGTGTTACTGACCTTCCAGGACCCGGCTGTGTTACTTACCTTCCAGGACCCGACTGTGTTACTTACCTTCCAGGACCTGGCTGTGTTACTTACCTTCCAGGACCCGGCTGTGTTATTTACCTTCCAGGACCTGGCTGTGTTACTGTGTTACTTACCTTCCAGGACCTGGCTGTGTTAATGGCTGTGTTACTTACCCTCCAGGATCTGGCTGTGTTACTGACCTTCCAGGACCCGGCTGTGTTAATGGCTGTGTTACTGGCTGTGTTAATGGCTGTGTTACTGACTTTCCAGGACCTGGCCGTGTTAATGGCTGTGTTACTGACCTTCCAGGACCCGGCTGTGTTAATGGCTGTGTTACTGACCTTCCAGGACCCGGCTGTGTTAATGGCTGTGTTACTGACCTTCCAGGACCCGGTTGTGTTAATGGCTGTGTTACTGACCTTCCAGGACCCGGCTGTGTTAATGGCTGTGTTACTGACCTTCCAGGACCCGGCTGTGTTATTGACCTTCCAGGACCCGGCTGTGTTACTTACCTTCCAGGACCTGGCTGTGTTACTTACCTTCCAGGACCCGGCTGTGTTACTTACCTTCCAGGACCTGGCTGTGTTACTTACCTTCCAGGACCCGGCTGTGTTATTTACCTTCCAGGACCTGGCTGTGTTACTGTGTTACTTACCTTCCAGGACCTGGCTGTGTTAATGGCTGTGTTACTTAACCTCCAGGACCTGGCTGTGTTACTGACCTTCCAGGACCTGGCTGTGTTAATGGGTGTGTTACTGGCTGTGTTACTGGCTGTGTTAATGGCTGTGTTAGTGACCTTCCAGGACCCGGCTGTGTTAATGGCTGTGTTACTGACCTTCCAGGACCCGGCTGTGTTAATGGCTGTGTTACTGACCTTCCAGGACCCGGCTGTGTTAATGGCTGTGTTACTGACCTTCCAGGACCCGGCTGTGTTATTGACCTTCCAGGACCCGGCTGTGTTACTTACCTTCCAGGACCTGGCTGTGTTACTTACCTTCCAGGACCCGGCTGTGTTATTTACCTTCCAGGACCTGGCTGTGTTACTTACCTTCCAGGACCCGGCTGTGTTATTTACCTTCCAGGACCTGGCTGTGTTACTTACCTTCCAGGACCCGGCTGTGTTACTGACCTTCCAGGACCTGGCTGTGTTAATGGCTGTGTTACTGGCTGTGTTACTGGCTGTGTTAATGGCTGTGTTACTGACCTTCCAGGACCCGGCTGTGTTAATGGCTGTGTTACTGACCTTCCAGGACCCGGCTGTGTTAATGGCTGTGTTACTGACCTTCCAGGACCCGGCTGTGTTATTGACCTTCCAGGACCCGGCTGTGTTACTTACCTTCCAGGACCTGGCTGTGTTACTTACCTTCCAGGACCCGGCTGTGTTATTTACCTTCCAGGACCTGGCTGTGTTACTGTGTTACTTACCTTCCAGGACCTGGCTGTGTTAATGGCTGTGTTACTTACCCTCCAGGACCTGGCTGTGTTACTGACCTTCCAGGACCTGGCTGTGTTAATGGCGGTGTTACTGGCTGTGTTACTGGCTGTGTTAATGGCTGTGTTACTGACCTTCCAGGACCTGGCCGTGTTAATGGCTGTGTTACTGACCTTCCAGGACCCGGCTGTGTTAATGGCTGTGTTACTGACCTTCCAGGACCCGGCTGTGTTAATGGCTGTGTTACTGACCTTCCAGGACCCGGCTGTGTTAATGGCTGTGTTACTGACCTTCCAGGACCCGGCTGTGTTAATGGCCGTGTTACTGACCTTCCAGGACCCGGCTGTGTTATTGACCTTCCAGGACCCGGCTGTGTTACTTACCTTCCAGGACCTGGCTGTGTTACTTACCTTCCAGGACCCGGCTGTGTTACTTACCTTCCAGGACCCGGCTGTGTTACTTACCTTCCAGGACCTGGCTGTGTTACTTACCTTCCAGGACCCGGCTTCCAGGACCTGGCTGTGTTAATGGCTGTGTTACTTACCCTCCAGGACCTGGCTGTGTTACTGACCTTCCAGGACCTGGCTGTGTTAATGGCTGTGTTACTGGCTGTGTTACTGGCTGCGTTAATGGCTGTGTTACTGACCTTCCAGGACCCGGCTGTGTTAATGGCTGTGTTACTGACCTTCCAGGACCCGGCTGTGTTAATGGCTGTGTTACTGACCTTCCAGGACCCGGCTGTGTTATTGACCTTCCAGGACCCGGCTGTGTTACTTACCTTCCAGGACCTGGCTGTGTTACTTACCTTCCAGGACCCGGCTGTGTTACTTACCTTCCAGGACCTGGCTGTGTTACTTACCTTCCAGGACCCGGCTGTGTTATTTACCTTCCAGGACCTGGCTGTGTTACTTACCTTCCAGGACCCGGCTGTGTTACTGACCTTCCAGGACCTGGCTGTGTTAATGGCTGTGTTACTGGCTGTGTTGATGGCTGTGTTACTGACCTTCCAGGACCCGGCTGTGTTAATGGCTGTGTTACTGACCTTCCAGGACCCGGCTGTGTTAATGGCTGTGTTACTGACCTTCCAGGACCCGGCTGTGTTATTGACCTTCCAGGACCCGGCTGTGTTATTGACCTTCCAGGACCCGGCTGTGTTACTTACCTTCCAGGACCTGGCTGTGTTACTTACCTTCCAGGACCCGGCTGTGTTATTTACCTTCCAGGACCTGGCTGTGTTACTTACCTTCCAGGACCCGGCTGTGTTATTTACCTTCCAGGACCTGGCTGTGTTACT